GAGAATCCACATTGTGCAGACGTTCAACAACCATGTTTCGCTCAATCTCGTTGGCAATCTGCGGGGCCTTGGGCAGCGTCAGGGCTTGGCTAGGACCGGGCGACCGGCGGTAGTTCACTGGACTGACGGGACCGGTCATCGAGGGATACGGCGAAAGCGCATTCGGCGTCGAGTTTCCAGACATGGGCAGCGAGTTCACCAGGGAGTGCAGCGAGGGAGCAAGCGCATCACCCACAGCGCCGTGTCGGTCCATAACCGAGGGCAGCGTATGCGATTCCGAGCCACTGTCTTGAGACACGAATGGCGATCCCATCGTGTGCTTCGTGTCCGCAGGGGAAACCAAGGTGTCCCAAGGCATCTGCGGCAAGGTCGCGTTGCCCGACATGTACGACACAGGAGGCTCTAGTAAAGGACCGCGTCCAGGGGAAAAGGAGCGATCCGATTCAGCACGTTCATTGGCTTGACCAGTAGCGGCGGCTGCGGCCTTATGTTGGAAATCTGTCATCAACATGGCTGCAGTTTCAAGATCAACCATACCATCACTGCTGGCCTCTATTTGTTCGAGAGTAGCAGGATCAATTGTGATCGAGGGCTTGGACGGGGCGGGTGCGGGGGAAGTCTTTTGAACACCCGCGCCACCACGTCGCCGGCCCTCGGAAACTAGCGGTATCCCACCGTCCTTTGCGTGAACGGTACGGTCATGACGAAGGAGTAAATCACGACGGACGAAAGTACTCCGGCACTTCAGACACTTGAACGGCCTCTCCTTGGTATCTATGAAGCAACGAAGGTTAGTATTATGCCCTAAGACTAAACGACGCGAAACAGAGCCGTAGCACAGTAACTAGCCTGTCTGCACAAAGACAGTACACCTAGCCCCGCGCACAGGAAAAGAAGACCATATAGAAAAGAGACCACTCTACTTACGCGAACGTTCGTGTCTGCTGCGATGTTCGCTTCTGCTAAAGGCGCGATTACAAAATTGGCACTTGTATTTCTTCTCTGGGGCTGATGTCTTCTTGGCTGGCGAGTTGGTCGCCTGGGGAGGTGCAGTGGGAGCCATTGCTGAGAATACTGCAGCGAATATACAACCACGGCTGAATCCTAATAGAACAGCGACAAAATCGAAGACTGCGCTATCGTCCCTTTCGTGATTTCACACCGGTTCTGTAGGCGGGTAGACGACAGGAATTCGGTTTGGTGCCTGATCATTCCTTGTGTGGGGGAATACTGGAGGGCAGTGTTGAATTGGGAGAAGGGGGGTCCAGCCACAGGCGGACTAGGAGGGGAGAATAGTGTGATAGCGGGTGGTTGTAGTAGTGGTGGTGGTGATTGTGTGGTGGAGGCAGTCTTTAATAAGAAGCCGGGGAGGGGAAGTACCAAAGGATGGGAAAGACAGAACGGGAAAGACAAACAAGAGGGAAAAGGAAAAGAAAAGAGAAAAAAGGAAGAGAGCAAGATGTTGAATGCTGACCCAGGAAAGAAGAGGAGAGAGAAAGAGGAGGAGGGGGAAGAAGGAAGGAGGAAGACGTTTGAGAGAAGAGGGAAGAGGGAGGAGGAGGAAAGGAAGAGAAAAAGAATGGGTAAGAGGAGGGGGGGGATGTTGAATGGATGAGGAGAAAGTAGTTTGTGAGTCGCGGGAGAGAGAGTCTGGGAAAAAAAGGCCTGGTCGAAAGGAAGGGAGCGAGGGGGGGGGGAAGGGAAAGACTGCGCAAAGAGGGAAAAGTGGTGTGGGTGTAGAGAGAAGCGCGCCAGGACGTGGGCACAAGCCGATGGGCGATTCGGGCGATCGCTGGATCGCGACAGTGAGGCGGTCGTGTCCAGCGGCGGTGTTGGCGATTTGGGCGACGAGCGGCGCAGCGACAACAGGGAAGTGGGAGGCGGGAAAGAGGGGCTCCCTCGGCGGGACTGACGGAGGGGGAAAACAAGCGAACAGGCCAGTCCCCGGATTCGAACACGCACTGGGGCCCATAATGCCACTGTCTTCATTCCCCGACAGCCAATGGATGTGCCCGTTGCCCATTCTGACTAACGGCGTGCCCGGGCTAAACGGAACCTGGTTAGGACACGTCCACCTTTCCTTCGGTGACCCATATTTCGAAAAGAGACAAAAAAAGTTCCAGGAAATAAGCAAAAATGAAAATGAAAATGCAACAAAATTCAAAACAAAATGGATCTAAATGCAAAATGATGAATAATGATATAATAGGAATTAAATAAAATAAATCAAAAAGGTATACAAACTAGACTATCTACACAGCTAAAAGAACAGACAACAAAACAAAGCAGTAGCCCAGCCCACCGCAGCCCACATGGGCCGTACAGTAGTAAGTAGACTTCCAACCCGTCAACCCGGTTCAGCCGGGGGGGCCTCCTTCGACTGGCTGAAATCGACCGTTTGTTAGAGGTCTTGGGTTGATGTGAGGGAGAATCTTATCCACTCTCCATTTTCCATTTTGCACCCACCATTACTGCTACTGGAAAAGGCAAAAATGGAAAATGGAAAATGTGAGAAGAAAAAAAATGAAAAAATAAAATAAAATAAAATCGAAAAGAAACACAATGATCTCAATATCCGAGAAAATAATCCGAGCAGAAAAAAAGAAAATTTACTCTTCATATGCACAACATTGGGCAGCATCCTACATGTTTCCCCTGGTGAGTTATCGCGACTCAAGGTGTGATCTGGACAGATTTGGATCATGGTTATCATGATGATTAGTTTTGTTGTTGGTGGGTTGGCTACAAAGTACACCGTAGTTAGTCGTCACATCTTGGGAACATTATACATCCCCTCTCTTACACAGCGCACAGTCGATACTCTCATGATCAAATACCCCCTGCTAGGGTTAACCCACTCGGATAATGCTCCTATCCCTGTTTGGTGATGGCGCCCCTCGCTCACCTTTCAGCGGTCGAGTGCAGGACCCTAGAAGGATAATAATGGGCCAGCAGAGCTTCTACGGTGTATTCCTGCGACCTGCCTCACTGACCACACAAAAGCCATGCCGGAGCTGGATGGCAGGCTCGACTTTCTACTTTTACTCACTCCCACTTCCCATCGATATTATTTCATAGTGGGGTTTGGGGTGGAATGAGGACTCCATACGGTATGGTATGTAACTTTGTTCAGTGGGTACAAGTGGTAGCTCGATGGGTACAATGCAGTGAGGAGGACACTGGACAAGACTTCAGGTTGTCTTAGTAACCTCGAGGCTGACATGACTAGCACCGAGAAATTGAGTGAGGTTCGGATTACCTGCTGTAAACTACCTCAAACGTATCGGGTGCAGTAAGATGAGTAAAAGCCAAAAAGTCATCCCTCTTGCCCATCCCTATGTGACAGCGCAGAAATCGCAAACTTGGTACAGTCGGCTGCGGGGCCGTCCAGAAGACAGGTAGATACTGTCATTGACCATTGTCAGTAGACAAAGGTCAGGGCACAGCATTAGACTACAATTTCAGTCGATGTATCTTGGTCATTGCATGGAAATGGTCCACAGTAATTAGAGGGAAAGAGAGTGCTCGGTAGATGAGAAGAAGAAGGGGGTAAAAGGAACAGGCTCGAATAGGTTAGACTGGTTTTTGCAGGTTGAATTGAGAATCCATCGCAGACACGCACTTTCACTCGTTCCCTCTCTCTTTCTTCTTGTCTCTCACAAACTCCCGTCCAGCCAACAGATTAGTGCCCCCCCTCCCCTCCGTCCCCTCTTTTTTCCCTACAAAATTATTTTTTCTTTTCGCCCCTCGTCAGCCCCCCCTTGCCCCTCCGGCAGGGATCCAGCACCGTCAAAATGCCACGGAGACGCACCGCCATCATGATTCGTGTATTGGCTCCCTTCATTTCCACCACGGAATCTCTTCACACCCCAAATCAAGTGGTCGATTCGTCCAAACCGGGCTCCCATTCCTCACGCTGATCGTACCTACGTACTCATCTCATCCTTCAATAATTCGCATAACTATCTTCAACCATCATCATCATCATCATCCCTTTTTTTATTCCTTTTTTTTCCCCTTCTTCTAGATCATCTCATGTTACCCCATTTGTATTCTATCCCGCCACCCACTTCCTTACCCCTCTAACCCCTCTAACCTCCCCTCCTTTCCTCCCCTCTTTGTGAAGTCTAACCCTTCCTTAACCCCTCTTTGGTAAATCGGCTCACTGGGATCACCGCCGGTAATCCCTACTTATGTCGTAGATAAACCCACTAGTTATTTGATAATCGGCCACCCGCCGCAAGGCTGGTCATGACTTCATTTCCATGCGATCCAATTTGTGTGAGTGGGATTGCCCGTCTAACTCCGACTAGAACTAGCCCCGGTGGATCTTCAAATCGAGCGCTGCCGTTGTTCCAGACCCCCTCTCACCTCCGTTCCCCTTCTTCCGTCCGTCACAATGACGAGTGTTGGTTCATTCGAACGTCTACAAAGTACAAATATAGAATGGTTCGCGAAATGCGCTCGCGAACCACTTCCGCGAACACAAGAGCTTCGCGCGGCATCCTGAATTTAATGCTTCACGTTGCCAAGTCAGTTGAAGCCAGATAGAAGACGGGGGATGAATCGTGCTTGGCTGGTAAAAGCCACCCGTCATCACGCAGCAATAGGAGAATATTGCTGACGATGTGATGTCTCTCAGTTTGACAGATCATCGCCCAGTCTATCGGTAGCCTAAAGACCACACCCCAACATCCCTAAATTTCTGGCAAGCCTCTTGGCCTTCATTGGATGTCCCCTGGACCAAATAGGTAAAGAATAGAAGAAAAGAAAAAATAAGAAAAAGGAAAAAGCACTATCTTGACAGAAAAAGCTAATCGTGCTATGCACTGCGAACGCCAGAATGACCTTGGGTCCAAGGTCGTCAGAGGTTCAAACATGGCGCATGGTTTGCCTCCCACTTCAGCTCAGGGTCAGCTGCTCCAGCGGCCGCCAACACGACAGCCAGCGTCAGCAGGTGAAGGAAATCAAGGGTCAGAAACACAACCCTCCGGAAGGCGATGGACGCTGTTTCGTTTCCAATTCTGCTTGCTCGCTTGCCAAACTCCATTTCCCCTCCTCCCCCCACCTTCAACTTAGTACTTTGGAAGCAATCCAGTGGATTCGGCCACCCAGCGTGTGGGTGGGCTACATCAGGTGTCCTTGTTCGTGGAACACCAAACACTACCGAATCAATCCATCCTGGGCGCTAAATGGATAATGCAAAAGCTTGAGACAGCAGACAGAAGTCATGTTCTGGAGCGATCCAACTTGGGAGCTTGGGAAGATGCAGGACTGCATCATCCCCAAACACTATTGTTTCTGTTTTTGGCAGTTTGGCATCCAAGCCGAAGATGCATCAACCTAAGACCGACTACCTAGTCCCAACTGCATAAGTGGCATGGGGAATCCGGCCCTTCGACAGAGAGAGTTAGTCTGAAGCCAGAGGTACCCTAGGGCAGGTTACTTGTGGCTGCCTGCACGCCCGCAGTCGCGCCTAACCAGCCTCACTCGGAGACGCGCCCTCGTTCCGCGTCTCCGTCGAATAAGTAAACGATCCACCTTGAGGAGGGGAATGATTACATACGTAAGTAGAAGTAGACAAGTAACTAGTTAGCTATCTACACGGTGCAAGTACTGTGTACAAGTGTGTCACGGTCAGATGACGGTGGACGATAGTTCCGAGCCTGTCCTTGGCCCCTTGGTTCGACCACCACAGACAATCCCAGACTTGGCTCTGAATCTATGATGTGGGAAGGGGGATTCGACTATGAGTTAGAATAGTCTCAGATACAAATGTTTCATACTGAACCACAGAACTTATGAAGCCTATTTTCATCCTCGATCTCAGCACAGTAACTATCATCATAATCATCATAGTCAACATCATCACCACCACGAAGGTTCCCGTAAAATCCCGGCACGCGAGTGGGGCATCACTGGGTGGGCCTCAAGGAAACCCCCACCAGACACGGTTAGTTACTAGGGAAACGCACATGATCATGAGGGGAGCACAAAAGTACCCCAGGAGGATCGCATACATCCGATAGTTATCCAGAACATTGAATCAGTTTAATTTATCTTTCCACCGCCACGACCGAGGGGGTGGTGCTTTGAGCTCTCACTGCCTGCGGATCATCTGGGCGCATTGTATCGACTATCGAGTTACCGAGAAGCGCCCTTCCAACATGCCCCTAGGATCAATCCGGTCACGATCGCTATCCACCAAATGCATGTCACTAACTACAGAAAGAAAAACACTGGGATAGTCTGACTGCTATCATGCTAACCATCGATTGCGATAAGCCAAACAGACAGTCACTTCCATCATCCCATGATAAACAGCCCTAGAGGCATCAGCGATTCTGCGTCTCCACCCAGAGGGATCCGTCCAGATGCAGGCCCCAGAATCCTAATCAGCATTAGTGCCTGAGCAACCCATTCTTACGTACTCCAGGCTCACCGCTTTCATCTGCCAGGAGCTCGGCCTGCAGGAATAAAGCGGTGAGTCGGGGCGCTTACGCTTTTGAGAAGGTCGGAAAAGGATGGACAACAGAAAAGGTCAAATCCAGACACTCGGCCTGCTCTCACACGTCCAGCCGCCCGAATTTCTACCTCCTCGGCTTGAGGTCGAACCCTGGCAAATTCAATTCGTTCACTATCTATCTCTTCCTGGGTGCTTGATCCACTTTCCGAGCCATGCAGCGGTCCGACCCAGTCAACGCCTCAACTTGTCCTGTATCTATGAAAGGATGTTATGAGCTTGCAGGTTCAGGAACGACGCGAGATGTTGACGACGACCTGCCAGTTGGTCGAAAGGGTGTCAATAACTTGGGAATAAATCGCTTGGGGTTTCATCTATCAGGCAATATCGAGCACCTGCGTACGGACCATGCATCGATTTCCTAGACCGGCGCACGGGGTCAAGAGAGGGGGGCAATAGTGCAAAACTCCCGTACATACCGATCCTCCCAACCATGATCGATCATTTCCGATCCAGGCTCGCTTTTCTCCGGCGGGAGCGTGTCCTCCATACCTTTGGTGATTCGGTGGGCTTGGATTCCAATCTCTTGGATATCATCACTCGATTTTTCTCACGCGTTTTGGAACACAAAAAAAAGGGGCTAAACCTCAAAAACCAGTCTCGAAAAGCGAGAAAACCCCCCTTCTAGCTTTCAGATTTGGCTCTTTGCCCTGCAGCTACCCGTTCTATTTCCTCCTTTGCACCAAAGATGCAGTCGATCAGCTTCGTCGCGAAGGGTCGATCGCCGGATTCCACAACCATGGCTAATGAATCTTCAATTGAATTCCCACAGGGCGTCTACGATCCAGTCAGGCGCGTCCAACTCCACCAGGTACCGTTGCAGGAAATCAGGAACCTCTTCCCCGAAACCCCGGCCCTTACACTAGCAAGCGTCGGCAGCCATCCCAGGCTAGGAAGTGAAAGAAAAAGTCTACTTATCTCGGCTGGCGCTCATCGTCCCGACAACTTTGGGACTTTGGAGGTTTGCATCGACCCTGGTCGGCGGCGCCCGTGATCCGTCCATCCGTCACGTAATTAGGCAGTAGTGCTCCGTACTAAGTGCCCCTCCATCTCCGAACGGTCTGGAATATCCTAGGCGGGCATCCCTGGAGTCGGTGAAGGATGTCAACCATCACCGTCTCGGTGCCGTTGGGGATTGATCTTGAATCCCCGTGGAAGGATTTCTTGACCGCTTCTAGATACCATCAGGTTGGGCATCGCTCTTCTACACATGGCACTGAAAATATGGTCTGCTGTCATGAGAGGTCCCACAACTTCTTGGATGAACAACAAGTTTCCAGAGCATACGGTGTCAAAGCAGAAGACACGGGTCCCAGACGATGAAAATTTTTGAAAGAGCAGATTCTCGATAATGAAAGCGACCCACTCAATGATGAACCCGCTCTTTCCAGCTGATAAGCTGCTCCATCTGTGGGTTGGTACTCCGGAATTCCGTCTGACAAGTTTTCCATCTATTTTTTTCTTTTTCCTTTCCTTTTTCTTCAAATTTTCTATCTTTCCCCTCCACCGCAACGCTCCGCTTTTCTTTTCCTGGTTTGTGCGTTGTGCGATGCCCTTCCCTAACCCTAGACCTAACTTCAGCAGTTCCACTGACATCGGCAGTTACTTTAGCCTGGTGGCAATAGCTGCGATGGAGCCCGCCAAATACGGTTATTCGTTTCGCGTCGCGCCATCAACAAAGTGATGTATACATCGTAGGAGCCTAGTTCGGCTTGATTCTCCATGGATGGTGTCGTAGTCCAGGATTTTGTAGACATGTAGTACATGCAATCAGCTAAACCATGGAAAGCCATCTGTCAGTCGGGTTCGTGGTCGGGATATCGGCTGCGTTCCATGGTTCGCTCCCGTCGGTTCCTGATGATATACAGATGCTACGACACGGAGTCCGGATTCTGCTCCGTGGTTTATCGGGGGCTTGTGGTTAGTGGGAGGGAAGTCGTAGATACTGGAATCTAACTGAGTATTGTCGGGACTATGTAATGTGACGGTTGTCGCAGTATATATCATCATTCTTGGATGCAAAAATATATATTGCGGTAGCCAGCATATCCCACGGGACGTAGTTTCTGTGGAGGCTACTGTAGTATATATTTCAATCAAACTCAAACCAGTTATATTCTTATGTCGATGAGAACTAGTAGTAGTAGAACTACTAATGTCATCGATTATATATCCCCCCAATTTAACAGATGACTTCCTTTATAGGAATCCCTGACCGAAGTAACCAAGTATAGAGCCGACTCTATCGCCGGCACATATACATGGCACTAGTATACTACAATCTCCCATACTATCAACAACACGCGCTCTAAACCCTACATTTACTATTAGTATCTATTATTTACTCCCAGCCAAACAAACAGGATTTCCCTTACGAAATGAGCTACCCTCCCAACCAAGCAAACAAAGTACTGCGACCTCTTCGATCAACAAGCTACTAAAACACAAAGTAAAAGCCAATCTCAAAGCAAGTCAAAGAAACGAACCGCTTCCCGGACCCATACAGTAACTCTCCAAGTAAATACAGCCGGATCCAGGAAAGTCATCGGAAATACTACTACATAATGATAGCACAAGTCTAGAATACCACTAACAAATTGAATAAATTAACCAATCAACTGAACTAGAACGCACAACACCCACCGCCAGCCATTGTATACATAGTGACCACCTACACAACTATCACTACTGACAGACCTCTTCGCATCCTCCTCAAGACCAAAACAATATTCCGTACTAATTATAAAAGTGAAAGAAAAATCTAGAAGTCCCTAATCCATAAAAATCAGACAGTCGTCTTAAAATAACTCCGTCCCACCCACCACCAGAAAAAACAAAAGAAAAAGAAAAAGAAAAGAAGAGAATCCATCGAATCCCTCGAAAAACCTTCTCGAAGCACTCCACCCACCCACCCACACCACACCACACCACACCATCCATCGATTCGCAATCAAATCGGATCCTTCGCCCACCTCATTCTACCAACCGGATGTTTGGAAATCAAGGAAAAACAGTGGTTCTTGAAAAAACATAGTGAATGCAAGAAAAAGGGGGAAACGGGGGGAGGTAAAACTAACTTTCAAGCTGAGACTAACTAGTACGTGGACAAGTGAGTTGGGATTGGTTGAGGAATGAATGGGTGCGCGGAAAACGGGATGTTGATCAGCTACTAATCATTCTAGTTAAGCTAGCTAAGTTTTTATCTCCTTTCGCGGTTCTGTTCAGTTATCAGCTATCTACGTGAGTGTTGCCACTGATCTGAGGGTTTGGTTCAATTTTATTTTGTAGGATGGAGGATGCCTTGTTTGAGTTAGTTAAATTGAGGAGGATGGAGTGGATGGGCTAGACTCGAGGGTTTGGGGAGATGCCGGTGGTGGTGTTGGTGGTGGGTATCGGAGTGCCCGGGTATAACTAACTAACTAACCATCTACCTGAGATGAAAGAACTTGTTTGCACTATCCTATGGGTTATGCTTAGAAGAAAATCGCCGGAACTTGGGTTCCTGCCTGCTCTGCTCATTTCCGTGTATTCCGTCGTTTTTCTTCTAGTTCTAGTTCAAGTAGACTAGTGTCGGACTCGGGATCTAGGCAGGGATGAATATGTTTCATTCTAGATTACGAAGTACTCTGCTTACTACCTGACTATTGTTGTGAATGTTGTGTGAAGTAACTATCCCTTGATATTCCGGAGAGGGGTATGATAATCACTTGCTAAGCGTAGTGTCTGTAGTAGTAGATTGACAATATGTAGTACTGTGAGGGGGATCATCTCTTCTCTAATTTCCCACCTCCCCTCCTCCCCTAGTTACGGTGCCCTTGCTGATTACCCCTCGTGATGATCAGAGGAGTAATGTATTGCTGTTAGACATTAACTGAGAAATTGAGAAGCAAGGTGTTAAGACATTGTCAGTGACTAGATTGGTGTTTGTTTTTTAGCTTATTAATTGTTGTTTTGCAGATAGTGTGTCTTGTTGTAGTGACCCATGTGCTATTATTTCTTCACACTACTTTATACGACTTAGGAGATTTATTGTAGAGTACAAGCAATAACAATCATTAGAGTCAATCATGCTAGATGTTTATATGTCAATGTCTACCAAGCACCGCCCAGTATCTATGCATACTATGTAACCCAGCCTACAATGCCCCTATACCATCGTCGCATCCACGAATAACCCCTATATACTATCAATTCTACATGACCAATTCACAAAGCAACCTTTCAACACGAGTCAATAGAACTATCCTCTCGTATATATGCCCTCATCCTACCCTCTCCCTATAACAAAACTGTCACCACACACCACACACCATCACCACCACCTCATCATCTTCTACACCACCCATCCCCATCCCCATACCCATTCTCAGCCCCCAATCTCTTCTGCACTCAGAAACCATCCGAACCCGACACAACAACCCCCCACAACTATCCAGCTCGTGCATAATCTAACCCGCAAGCCCTTGTAAGCTGACACCACCCCAATATCAATACCTCGGCAGACCCTGCCCAGGACCGAGGAATATCATACCACCAAAATCACCACCACCACCACCTCCTCCTCCTTCCTTCATTCACATGCTTTCTTTCCTTCCTTCCATCCGTCCATCTACCCACACAACGAAATAGAATACCAAGTCCACCGTTCTAGAATGCACAAAGATGACGAATCCACCCACCCATCCACCCGCTCCCTCCCGATAGCCAACTACTAGTGACTATAGAGTATATAAAATGCCGATATATCTCCGACGACAGACAGACTGTTAACCTAGTCTGGAAGGTAACATACAATAGATTAGGTATCAGTTTGAAACGGCCTAAATGGAGTATAGTCTGGGAGTTATAGCCAATAGAGGCAGGAGGAATAGTATAATTAGTGTTAGGTTACGGTCCGTCTGACGGTTTCGATGGCACGTTGGATTGAGGGTGTGATGATAATAAGCTTACTTTTGGGGGATTAGGTTGGGGTAGGGCTAGTGGTGAAGAAAAGGTAAGACTGAGAGGGAGTATGTAGGTATGGGTAATATGGCTGCAGGATATGTCCGAGTATGTGCGAGGTCGGGGGGGGGGGTGGCTTGATTGTTGCTGTTGGTTAACTAAGTATCTGCGTAGGGGGCTGTATTCGGAGTTAGTTCCTGTTGGGGCTAGAGGGTGGTGGTGGTTGGTATTGGGGTATGGGTGTTACGATTTGCTTGGATATGGATATCTGAATTGTTTGGATGATCGAGGATCCGTGGTTCTGTATTGGCTTGTGATATGATGTTGATGTCCTAGGCTTGTGATGGATGAGAGATAATAGTTGCAGGGTTATTATAATGAGTCTATTTATGGTGAATGTAGATGTCTCGAAGTTGTGCAAGATAGTAGGGTATTGGGTTAGATGAATGCTGGATAGAGGAGGGCTACATTGCTATTCAAGCTGCAGAAATAGTGATAGATTATTGGACACCATTTACTTTGATTATGATCTCCCTGGTGGTCTCTCAGATTTACCATGACTGTAATGTTGGGCTTTTGCTTGAATGGCATTTGTGTCATATGTAGACATCAAGAAATATTGCATTGGATATGCCTCGCTTCCCTGTAACATATAGTGCCGGTTATCATATAAGAATTCTCAGCTAAGAATGAATATTGCAAAAAGCATCCATGGAGATTGCACATTTACGGGTACATAGCACTGTTTGTGCTCAAGTATGTTATATGTTTGTGTTGTAGTGGTCTTCGGCAACCAATGGCTTTGTATGGAAAGAATGAGAAATTCATTGAATATGAGCATTGATTCCTCACTATTGTACTATTACTGAATGTCGCTCCTTGAGCACCCCCTTGTATCTCTCAATAGACTCACTGCTAGCCCAAGTCTACAACAATCGCAACCAAACACACCACGCAATGCAGCACCTACCAGTAAGCTCAAGACTGGCATTTCTGCAGACAACCGCGCCCCCTGCAAGACAGCTCCCTGGCCGCAGATCCTCCTGCACGCTGATATAGAACCCTAGTCATTTCAGTTCCGACTGGACCTAATCGACTGGTGTGCGCGGTTATTGGTATAACCGCAGTATTGCCTCGTAGCAGTTAGTCTGAACTCCTCCGAGCGTAAAGCCAATGATGAACGATGATCCCAGTCACGGACAGAACATCGTTTTGAGTTTCTTGCAGGTCTAGTAGGAAGCTACTGTCAGAGGTAAACTGCCTGATCGACGTATAACATGATAGGCCTGCGTCCGTTAGCTCTCGAGTCATTTTGACTTTCGGACGCTAGGTGTCTAAGCGTTATGCTGAGTCTCTAGAGATATGATGGGTCAATTGGCTCAAAGTACCGTGTCGCTTCCTGTAAGTATGTCTCCATGACTAGCCAGTAAGTGGTACGGAAGTGTATCCGAAGGCAACTGCCTGCTAACCAGATACCATACACATCATCCAAGTGGATGCCAAGGCAGAAGTGTAAATGCGAGAATAGCATAAAGAAGAGTGCAGTAATACTTATCAGGTATCATACCCGTTATCTATATCCCTGTGGCTTTGCTGGACACAGACCTCAAGCCCTGCATTTCCGCGGCGGTGGGTGAACAGGGGTGGGTTGGTTGGTTGGTTCATCGAACAGTGCGAGCATATTGATAGAATGACAGGTATCTCTGCTATAGAGATAGACAATAGATAGCATACACGGGAAGTCGTCGTGTTATTAGTCTCTTAACGTCGTATATTGGTCCTAATATTGCTAGTCAAGCTTATGATCGCCAATGGTCTCAGCAAGCCATGACCGTTACAGATGCACTTGCAGCGCGACGCGAGTCAAAATACGTCTCCACCCGAAAACGGGGAAACGAAGACACTAATTAGATACTAGTAACATAAGAGAGAGAGAGAGAGAGAGAGAGAGAGAGAGAGAGAGAGAGAGAGAGAGAGCCTGGAAGTCTAAAAGTCTCTGATAGGTACTAAAAACGAGAAAGTGGGCTGGGGGATGGATAAGAAGGTTAATACCACAGTTTACCGGGACTGTGCTTCCCATCGTCTCTGGAGCGGAATTGGCAGCCGTGCGGGTTGGAAGAGTGGATTCGTTGAGAAGACGCGGTTTGAGCTCTCCCCTTCTTCTTCTTCTCCCCGATACCGAAAACTAATGAATTATTGACTCGCGGAGGAAAGCATCTCTACTAAACTAATTACTGGTGTGGTGGCTGGAATTATTCAAAAAATTAACACGCTTCATAAAATCCAATGATCAGCTTATATATCACACAGTCCCTCTTTGCTTCACCCCTGGCCTAGCCAATCTGTGACGGGCAAGTTTTTGGTTTGGATCGAGTTACTACATACGGTCACGGCCAAGTCCACCGTGCAATCAATCCAGACAGACCTTTGAAGTAATTAGGTTGGTTAACCCCAAAGAGCCCCATTAGGGTCTCGGAATGCGCACGTACTCGCGATGTGCTGCCAATGATGGATCTGGATGGTACGGAGCGCGTCGACGACATCCATGGTTCGGGGAAAGATGTTACCCAGTTACCTAGGCCGTCTTCCAATCGTAGGGATCGAGTCGGATGGAGTACATGGAGTACGGGTGCCATCCGAAAGCCTCAGAAGGCTCGTGCTGTTGCTGTGCTTTGGCTTTCCCGTCGGTAAGAAGCGGTAATCTGGCATACGCGCTGGTAATTATTCCTTCACGGTGTGTTTTTTGTTTGTTTATCCTATATTAACTGGTTTTTGAGTGCGAGATTTTTATTTGTTTTATTTGTTTTACTTGATTTTTCTCTCACTCAGTCAAGGTAAGACACGAGGGCTTGGTCACTGTGTAGTGAGGCTAATGATAGGCTAAGACTGCTCTAGATTGATTGTTGGGTGGCGACGCTGGAGGGTAAATGAGATAAAAAAAGAAAAGAGAGAAAGAGGAAGAAACTGCACATGCAAGTCGGACGGGAGCTTGACCACTGACGAGGTCTTTGTACCTAGCTTAGAGAGGAGGGTTTGTGGAATAATGGGGAGAATAATATGTGCGTTGCACTATTGTGTGAACTGTGGCAGGGTGCAGGAGTGAGTATCAGCATGCATAGTATTTTGCATACAGACAATGAACGAATGGAGAGACGGGTTAGAAGTCAAGATCCAATAGTGGGCTACGAGATTCTAGAGTCAGTCAGTCATAGTAATAGTAATAGTAAGTACTAAGAGTGTAAAATTGACAAGAATACTCAAAGTCTGGACAGTATCTGGTAACGGGCTGGTATGGTACGGGGCGGTATTGTCACTCCACTTGGACTGACTTGGGATTCCCGACCGCCAGCCAGAAACCAATAATGCCAATCTGCCCACCTCCCCCAAAGGCAATCGTCGGAAACCTCCCTAAATCTCCCTCTTTCTCTCCTGGCGATTGTTGTCGCTTCGACTCTCCTTTTCTTTTGCTGCTCCTTTCTTTTTCTCTTCTTCGATGTCAGGTTGAACTCCCCTTGGGATCTTTGTGTCGAAGATAGATGGTGTTCTGACCTCAGATCTGACACCGTCACTTACTTACTACTTACCCCCCCCCTAACTCCAAGACCCCAAGTGTGTCTTAGTATCCCACTCACCTGCCACTTTCTGCCCCCCCGTATCTCACTCATCCTCTTCCCTGCCACCACCCACCACCATTACCGCCGCTATCTGTTTATCACTTCCGCAGTCAATTTTGCAACCGCCTCGACTCTCTTCCCCCCCCGTTTACTGCCGCTCCGCCTCGCTCGCTCGTCTTCAGTTACCTTCCTCCTAGTCATGAACAACGCCTTTCGCTGAGCTCCTCCAGCCATCCGTTGCGGGGACGTTAGTGTGCCGATCTTCGTTTCCCTTTTGTTCGGACTATCATTTTTGTTGTGATACCCGATGTTTGATTCCCGCGTGGCAGAGCCATTGGCCGTTGATACCGGATCTGCGCTGGCGACTAAGACCAACACCTATACGGCCGCTTTCGAGTACCCCGACGAACAAGTCACCACCCCCACCACTGGCCCGCGGAGCCGTGCGAACAGTCTCTCCTACCAACAGTCCTCCCTCACCGCCGACCAATCGCCCACTCGGCGTATCTCTTCAATGAAGCTCACCACCGATGGGCGCTATACGCCCAGCCCCGAACCGCCTCCGGCGCTGTTCGTGCGGGCCATGTATGACTACGATGCCGATGATCACACCAGTCTCAGCTTTCGCCGGGGCGACATTATACAGGTATTGAACCAGCTCGAGACCGGTTGGTGGGACGGTGTCATCGACAATAGTGTGCGGGGCTGGTTCCCCAGTAACTACTGCACTGTGATAACAGACCTGGATGAGCTTGAAGAGCAAGCACCGCAGACCCATGAGAATGAGGAAGTTAGTGCGGAATCAGGCATTGGCGAGGAGTACGAGGAGGAGCAAGACGCTGATGAGGTTGACTCGGCGGGCAATCCGCGCGACTCGCAGCCTATTCTGCCGATCGAGGGCGTGGTGGCTCCCAAGGAGCAGGAGGAGGCAGCCTTCTGGATTCCACAGGCGACACCTGATGGCCGTCTCTTCTATTTCAACACCCTAACCGGCTACAGCACCATGGAGCTTCCGTTCGAAAACCCCGCTGCCAACGAGACTGGCCCTTATGACCGCAACAACTTCCTCGTACCCGACCAAACGCGACCCCCACCGGAGTTGATGGCTCGTGGGTTCGAACGGGACGAAGATGATTACGACGGCTCAGCTTCGGAAGCGGAGGGCGAGTCTTTGATGCTTACATCTCGCGATTCCATGTCTCGGAGACGCCAGTCTTACTTGGACGGGGTTTCTCCCGCGACGTCCATGGATTCGCTGCACCCACCATCTGCGACAAAGTCCATCAACGACGGAAAAAGCTCGCATCAGTCCCTCCTGACTTCGCACAAGTTCTATGATTCTGCTACGAGCAGTAACAACTCCGTTTCCGACCACATCCACAGGCCTTCGATCTCCTCCGAAGTTCCGTCGCATTTCGTTGACGACGGGTTCTCTGTTCAGTTGACCTGGCCTCTGCTCGTTGACAATATGCGCCATGCCGTTGAGGTCTACCGGCAAACGCTGTTGAACGGCGACCGCTCTGAGTATGTGAGGAAAGCGGAAGATATCTCCGACCATCTGCGCATGCTGTTGGCGGCTGGCTCGGACACCACCGACAATCACTCCGGAAACCCATCAGTGATCTCCACCAATAAGGCGCTGTATCCCCACTTCAGGGATATGATGTCAAAGTTTTCGAAGCTCGTGCTCTCGTCCCACATTGCGGCCGCCGATTGGCCAGGACCGGATTCCATCAATAAATGCTTGCAAGAGGCCGATGGTGTGATGCAGGGCGTCTACGGCTACGTCGAGGTTGCAAGACAACAGCGTGGCGAGACCATCCATCGCATCGTTCCTGGATTCGTCGTGGGCAGCTTTTCAGGTGGCTGCTGGCAGAATAACGGCGTCTCCCTGAGTGACTCGGGCCCGACCTCCTTTTTGGATCACGACGCAAATGATTCGCGGGCGGAGCCATCAGTGACCCTGGATGCGGCCCTTATAGACCACATCGATGTTCTCAGAAGATCCTTTGTTGGCAGCATCCGTCGGCTGGAAGAGCGACTAACACTCAACCAGAAGAAGATTGTTACCATTAGAGAGCACGAGGAGATTGCGAATGCTGTGTCACTTGCTGCGATCAAGGTCGTTGAGCAGTTTCGCCCGTGGATGTCTGCAGTTGAATCTATCAACCTAGCACCATTGGGGACAAGCTTCCAGAATCCACAGCTGGTTGATTTCAGCTTGCAAAAGCAGAGAACCTACGATGCCATTGCCGATTTCGTCCTCAGCTGTCAAGCCGTTGCGGCACCACTGGGCGATGAATGGGCGGAACTGCGCGGCGATTCGCTTGAAGACCGATTGAATGCTGTGCGTGGCGTTCACCGGCAGCTCGAGAACTATGTTTCCCAAATTGGCTTCTCCCTTTCACTGCTCCTCGAACAGGTGCCCGAGCCTTCTGCTTTCCGCGCGGAAAGTCGCCTGGGTGGGGAGAATGCGGGGCTGAAGGCCATTCACAGCAGGTCAGAGTCCCAAGCTGGAGTCGCCACCGAGTCCATCGGTATTCCCTCTTCTTACTCGGTTGAAGGCGCGTCAGAGAAGGTGCGACGCAACATGGACAAGGCCCAGCGATTCTTTGGACAGGCCCCCCCGGCTGCAATTCCACGAGAGCCTGCAATGCGAGAACCGGTCCGCGAGCCGGAAGAAACACCCTGGTTCTTGAAAACAGATCACGAAGGTGAAGTGTTTTACGATACCAAGAATGACAACCTGAACTTGAAATGTGGAACACTGGCAGGCTTAGTGGAACAATTGACTCGCCATGACAAGCTTGATGCTTCCTTCAACAACACCTTCCTCTTGACCTACCGCTCATTCACATCTGCTGAGGAACTCTTCGCGATGGTTACCGAACGATTCAATATCCAACCCCCGCCCGGTCTCAACAACGACGAGATGCAAATGTGGATCGACAGAAAGCAGAAACCCATTCGTTTCCGGGTAGTTAATATCCTGAAGAGTTGGTTCGAGAATTTTTGGATGGAACCCAATGATGAACCGCACATGGCGCTCCTTCAGCATGTTCATGCGTTTACCAAGGATTCTATCGCTACTACGAAGACTCCCGGATCACCGCAGCTGTTGGCCGTCATAGAACAACGCCTTCGGGGACAAGACAACACCGTCAAGCGTCTCGTTCCCACACAGGCTACTGCCGCACCAACGCCGATCATTCCGAAGAACATGAAAAAACTGAAGTTCCTGGATATTGACGCTACAGAGTTCGCCCGACAGCTCACTATTATCGAATCGCGTCTCTACTCGAAGATTCGGCCGACGGAGTGCCTGAACAAGACCTGGCAGAAGAAAGTCGGCCCCGACGAACCGGAGCCTGCTTCGAACGTTAAGGCACTGATTCTTCATTCCAACCAGTTGACGAACTGGGTCGCGGAGATGATTCTCAATCAATCGGACGTTAAGAAGCGTGTAGTTGTCATCAAACACTTTGTCAACGTCGCAGATGTACGTGCCTTCCTTTGCCCCCTCTTGTTCCTCTACTAAGGGTAGATGCTGATGCTTACTAGAAATGCCGCGCTCTAAATAATTACTCCACACTGACATCGATCATCTCTGCACTTGGAACGGCTCCTATTCATCGACTGGGACGCACATGGGCTCAGGTCAGCGGGCGCACGTCCACCGTTCTCGAACAGATGCGCCGACTCATGGCCAGCACGAAGAACTTTGGTGAATATCGGGAGACTCTGCATCTGGCTAATCCGCCTTGTATCCCCTTCTTTGGTATGCACTCGTTGCAGGCCCCCTGACCCTTGTAGGTATTATGCTATCGTTCGAGACTAACAGAGCTGCTTAGGTGTTTACTTGACGGATCTGACCTTCATTGAAGATGGTATTCCGTCTCTCACTCCGTCGGAGCTGATCAATTTCAACAAGCGCGCCAAAACCGCAGAAGTCATCCGCGATATTCAACAGTACCAGAACGTCCCATACCTTCTTCAGCCTGTCCCTGAATTGCAGGACTACATCCTTAGCAACCTGCAGAATGCAGGCGATGTGCACGACATGTACGATCGGAGTTTGGAAGTTGAACCCAGAGAGCGGGAGGACGAAAAAATTGCGAGGTATGCCAAAACCAGTAGAGACATGAGCGCCTTGACTCTCGCGAGCATGGTAGTGTCGACGCGCTGATCAGGTCGCTTGTTCTGCTTTTTTTCTATCCCCTTCCCCCTCCCTCTCCTGTTCCTGTCGTCCAGTGGTTGATCTCCCTAGGCGACACGGTCATTTGTCAAGAAATATTGAGCTCTGGAAGACCTCTTGATGCTTGAGTGAAGACTAACCTACTATCTCCCCCATACGTAGACTGTTGTCGGAATCGGGTTTCCTGTAGTGCTCGCCTCGCCTCGATTCTCAATTCTCCGCCGGGGCTCCTTATCATCACCCCGGTCGACCTGCTATTCACTCGGCCAGATACCGAACGACCACCTATCACAATGCTTGAACGACGTCCGATGGCGCGATCGCAATTCACTCCAGCTACGCCATGCAACTTTATTTCTCAGGGGGCTGGTCCCACGAGCCGCCAAATCCATGATCCGAACCTCCCTTCCGACGGGTTTCTCCCTTATCTCTCTGTCTGCCCCCACTTGGCCAATCATGCAATTCGCCTGGACACTATGCGACATTCCCACTCTGATCCTTGGCTTCGCCTGGACGATCGCCATCTCCCTGATCGACTACTGTGGCAGCCGTTGCACAAGAAGCTCGGGCAAACCCTTCTGTCACCTTGAGTCCGAAAGACGTTCCTGGATATCCTGTCACTTTCAGCGCTCGTCATCAGTCCAGTGGACATCTTTTTTTTCTTCCTTGAAGGAATGGTGCCCAAGAATGGCCCATTAGACTAAAGAAAAGCAGCGCAGGATCTCTATCAGTGCTGGCATAAACATGCAGGGATGTCTACAGCGACTCCTACGATATCGGCCTAGACTCCTGGTCAACCTCTTCCCCGTCGTTCCTTTTTCATCATTTCCTTTGATAGCCGGACATCATTTCCGCTTTATCTTTTCCCGACCAACTCCAATCTCGTATCGATACGACTGCCATTTCTTTTGTCTTCTAGTCCACCTTGACGGTCACCATTTCTTTTCGGCTTCTTTTCCCGATATCTTACATATTGTGTCGAACATATCACCTCTGTACAATGGCTCGGGCCCCTTTACCCTTCTGTACAAATTCTCTTTGCTTTCGTGGTCTCTCACCTGGTGTTGATTGTGATCTTATAGAGAGGCTTGTTTACGGTTCGGATGATGATTTCTCACGACGCAGGCTACTATTGACGGATTGGTCTTTGCTTTGGGCATTCTCATTCATGATTACCCCCTCTTGTCGTTCCATTGTGCTGACCTGTTCTTATTTGAACATATACACCTGCTGCAGTGTGTTAGTACATATCCAAGCACATATTACATATTTACCAATGGTAATCAGTGTACAGGAATCGCAGTAACGAGACGTATAACGGCCCATACAATGATAGATAGCTTGAACTGTTACTCAGTAGGCCACAAACAAAAGCAGTAAATGTATCCATTAAGTCATCTCGTCATTCATAGTAGAAATGTTCTCAAATGAACCTTCATGAGCCTATCATAACAACAATAGTCGAGCACAAGCTCATGATGTCTCCGATTTATGGCCCTCGCCAATATTTTGAAACAGCTTCATCTTCACCTCTGCCGCCAACAACCCCTTCACCTCCTCGGACACAATCCGCTGCCCATCCCTGGCCACTCTCTCCAACTGCGGATCCTTAACCTGCGCTAAATTTCCCCGCGAAGCACTACTCTCCACGCCCCTCGTCGCCCGCTTAATCTTCTGACTCAAATCCACCATCTGCTTGCTCCCATAGTCCCTCGTCGTAAACAACGGACTCTGACTCAACGTCGCAACCCAATACTTATTCCACAGCAACGACAGGATCTCCGTATCCAATGCACTCTTAAACACCGACACCTCCAGCGAATAATAATGCGACGCATGTGCCCCGAAATCCTCCGCTTTGTTCAACGGCACCGTCTGATACTCATCCTCCCCGCCTCCAGCACCACTCCCCTCGCCCTTCGGCGGGGTGTAATCCTTCGGAAACGTCCTGAACGCCCCAATATCCACCTTCCCTGCCGAAATCGTCCTCTCCGGATCAACCACCACCGCCACAAACGGCCCTCCGAGCTGCTGCATATCCTGCGTCGTCACGTCGATACCAGATAACCAGCATCCGTACCCGGGGTGACTGTGGTACCAGCCCACTGCGTTCTCCATCCGTCCTGCGTCCCGGCATGATTGTAGGTATGAGACCATGTATTCGTTGGCTTCGTCTTGCGCGTTGACTCGCGTTTCGGTTCCCTCGACGGGCAGACGGAAGGCATCGGTTACCACGAAGGTTTCGGGGAGGATGTAGCCTTGCATTAGACCCATGACTTCGAGGGAGCCCCCTGACCGCGCGTGCATTACCATCTTTAGCAGTGCGACGGCCGAGATTCGGATCGATTTGAAGTAGTGCGGGTCTTTGGACCAGGGGCGCTGAGCGCTGAGTGCTTTGTGGGTTTCTTCATCGTATTGGTAGAGCGCGTCGCGGTGGGGGTCTATGAGGGTGACGGCATTTTCGAATTCTGTGGTGTTGGGGTTAGAGGGCTGTGAGATGGAGTGGGGGTGGGGATGGGGATGGACGTACCCCAGGACTGCTGGGCAGCCTGCATGGTGGGTGGTAGAGGAGAAGGTGAGATTGGGGGTAGTAAGGGGAAGGTGTGAGTATTATCACGGGGTAATTTGGCTGAAAGCAGGAAGAGAGATGATCCTCTTGGTATGAAAGATTGAAGTGGAGTAGATAGTTGCTGAGATCTGGATAGTTAGATAGTAGATAGATGGAATGAGGTGACTCCGGGCGGTGAGAAACTCCCCGGCAGATCGCGGCGGAGACCGGCGCTGAGTCAGCGGTTACCGGGCCGACGAAGTAGCAGCTGAAAGCGGCGGGAAACAGAGCAACAAAGGCGGCGAGCAGATCGGGATTGCGGCTGCAGAATCCCCAAAGGGAGAAAGAAGCCCAGATTATTGTTATTGTCTTTCTTACTCCATCCACCGCTGCCTGTCTCCATCCCCTCCATCCCAGTCACCCTTGCATATTCCTGCATCCCCTGGAGCTGGTCATAAATCTGGCGGGTCGTCCCTTGTCCTCGCAGATGCCACTCATCTTCCCGTGAGGCGCTTCGCTGTCAATCGCAGTCTCGCGTTGTTCATCCTGCCTGTTTGGATAACTCGCAGCTCCTCCTTCTAATCTCTCCAGGCGCATCGCCGCCCCCCGAGCGTACATGACGCTGACCCCCGCCCTTTAAAGGCGAGTTTGTCTTCGATCGCGCACTCAAACAAATCTCATTCAGGCCAATCGGCTCCACAATACAACAACAACCCCCCTGGCTTGGGCGTGGGAAACAAACATAACACCATGGCCGTCGATACAAGCTACTTGACCACTCAGGTCAATAACATCGTCACCCAATTGCATGGCATCTTTGATGACATCGGCGTTCCCAACCATGAGCGCGAGTCCAGAGAAGCAGAGGTCGGTTGTTTCTGATATTCTCAGCACCCCTCGCAACTAACTGTGAAGCAGCTTTTCAGCGCGTTGTCTGAAACGCTAAACAACCACCTCAAACTTGTGGATAAGTATGCGCCTCGCGTACATTGCAATGCTGTTACGTACTAGGGCTGATCTTGTACAGTGAGAAAAAAGATATGGAGGAAGAGGCACAGAACCTCATTGAGGCAATCCAGCATATGGAGAAGTCCCTAGTGGATGAGAAAGCAAACGGACAATACCAGCTTGACCACAACGAACTGCGCATCAGCTACCCACTGAATCGCTGCCTCAGCTTCCTCCGGGAAGAGCACAACGCTCTGAGCAAACTACACAAGGAGCGCTTCGAGCAAGTCAGGAGTAAGTTAATCCTGAGCGCCAGAAGGCGCGCCATTGCTGACTGGCCATAGAACTTGTCGAGGCTCTTGAGTCGTATGCGTCGCATCTGGAACCCACCTTTATCGCCATTGAGCTTCCCCCGACAGCTCCTGGTTCAACCATTTCACCCAGCTTCGATCTCTCGCCATCCTACGTCACTGCACTAGACAGCGAATTCACCCGCGTTTACGAAGAGTACCATCGCCGTCTGGAGTTTGTTCAGTCCACATCTGAAGAGATTATCAAGCTCTGGGCTGAGCTCGGAACGCCTCAGGTCCAGACAGACACCAACATCGTCAAATATTATCGCGAATCGCCAGAACAGTTAGGTCTACATGAGTCGGATCTAGCCAACTTGATGGCCAAGCGCGAGAAGCTCCTGGGCGAGAAGAAAGGCCGTGAGCGCAAACTGACGGACCTTAAGAACGCCGTTGAAGCGCTGTGGGAACGTTTCGGAGTCGAAGACGCCGACAGAAAGGCTTTCATGAATGCGAACCGTGGCTGCGGACTTAGGACGATCAATGAGTTCGAGGATGAGTTGAGTCGTCTGAATGAGCTGAAGAGACAGAACCTGCACTTGTTCGTGGAAGATGCTCGGTGTCGACTTCAAGAGCTCTGGGATAGCCTTTACTTCTCGGAAGAAGAGATGCTTGACTTTACGCCTGCCTTTTCGGATGTTTGCAGCGATGCGCTGTTAGAGGCGCACGAAGCTGAAATCGCGCGACTAGAGACCTTGAAGGAACAGCGCGCCCCGACTCTGCAACTCATCGAAAAGCATAAGAGCCTCCTGTCAGAGCGGGAAGCGCTCGCCGTTTCGAGTCAGGACGCATCCCGTCTTATGGCTCGTGGAAACAAGGGCGAGAGACGTGACCCCGGAAAGCTGCTAAGAGAAGAGAAGATGAGAAAGAGGATTGCCAAGGAGCTGCCCAAGGTGGAAGCTGATCTGCGCAAAGAGCTGGAGAGGTGGGAGGATGAGTATGGCCGGCCATTCCTCGTCCATGGAGAACGGTACCTCGACGAACTCACCCCAGTTGTTGCAAAGCCTCCTCCGCGCTCCAAGACTCCTGGACCTACCAGCGCAAAGCGTCCTACCCCAGCACAACCTCCTCGTCCGGCTAGTGTCATGAGTTCTCGGCCTGGCAGTGCCATGCGAGGACCTTTGCCGCCGCGCTCGGCTTCTAAGACACCCACTGCCCACCCAACAACAAAATACAACACCATTGGACCTGCTGCTGGTAGGGCAGGAGCCAAATCGCCCTCGAAGATTCCAGCTCGTGTTCCCCTGGGCAATATGCCGCATGGAAACAACTCCCCGCGCCGGGGTGGTCCAGGCACATATTCGTCTAGCACTGTGAACGGTAAGATGCCGGCGCCTCGTGCACCTCCGCCGAGGATGCGGGCATTGACCGGAGGTGAGTCGAGGGAAGATCGAGCGGCATACCTCTTTGAGCCACCACGATCTGCCAGCGCCTTGTCGAATTCATTCGTGCGACCAGTCAGCCCAGAGGACGTGTATGATGATCGTAATCAACGCTCTTTTGTCAGCTCTTCTGCGTTCTCTCAACGCTCCACTGGATTCTCCCAATCATCCCACTCTTCAGCTTCGTCCCTGTCCTTGAGCTCCTCTATGCAAGGCTACCCCAAGCCAAACCCATATTTGCAGCAAATGCCCCCACCGCCAGCGCCGAGACAAGTATCGAACTCCACGGTGCAGACCGCAGTATCCGGGTCAGAGAACTGGGAGACTTTCGATGACGGTTCGGAATCCGAAGCAGACGCTAGCGACGTGTACTATGCGAAGCTTCGTGCTGCACATGGGAAGCGGCTGGCTGATCCTGAGGAGAACCAGAACCGCTCCCTTGCAGGCAAGAAAGCCAAAGGCATCCGAAGCGTAAGCCCAGATGAGCCAGGTCCCCAGATGGGGAACATGGTTCGAGTCAGCGACGCCGAGTGGACGGACGACCTGGAGCCATATTGAAGCCTCCGATAGCCTTTCGTTGATCTAATGACCCTACTCGAGACTTTCAGGGGTCTCTGAAAGAACGTGATTACGAGACGACTCGACGTTGACGATTTCACGAACGACCCTGAAGCCCTCTTTCTGTCACTACCCCCTATCCCAACACGCGCCATAATTGTTGAGCTTTTTACGGCGTCAACAACGGCTTGCGCAATTGCGCTCAGCAAACCATCTTAATTTCTTCTGTTAAAATTCGGAATTATACCACGTGCGTTATGTTCTGGCTTATCTGGACGGTCAACCTTGGATTCCTTTTGCGTCCCACTTACTTCGACCATTCTGCCACTCACTGCGTGATAGGCAGGGCCCGACAACCCGCGACCGAATGCAGCATGTCGTTCCCTGATGTCAAAAAGAAACGAAGGACTGCGGGAAAACCAGGCGTCTTTTTGTATCATGCCTTTGCTCTATGTTTGAATAATTTACCTCTACCCGGACTGGGATAGACGGGGGTTGGTGTTCCTCCTGCGACTCCTTCCTCTATTTCTTTTTTATGATAATTCGCTCGATTACTCGATTACCGACTTTGAATCTTCTCTTCTCTTGGTGTGGCTCTGTGATATTTCTTCTTTTTTCTTTTTTATGTTTTCTATGGACGCGTGTATAAGTCCGTGGCATGCTTTTTTACCTCTATTTCTGTTGTGATATCAGCGCGGTTCAGTTATGCTTCAGCCGCTAAGTTTTACTTTATGGTTTCATGTCCTAGCAATGGATAGTATTTATTTCTCTTTTCTACCTACTTTTGCCTACTTGAAGATAAGATCGAGTTGTAGGATAGTATGATAGATGAAATATAAAGCTGTAACATGGTTCTAGTAATAATTCTATTCTACACTTATTATACACTTCATACATACAAACACAACACCATCTACCCTCCTCACACCCACCCACTAGGTATACCTAAGAAGACCCAGAAGAAGGAGCCAACGACCCCATCCAAGACCGATCCTCACCCAAACTCTCCACCCCCTGCTTAACCCGTCTCGTCGGCCCGGGCACCAAATGCTTCGTCAACTCCTTCGCCTCCTGTACTCTCCTCACCGTCTCCTCTCTCCCCAAGATAGCCATCGTCTCTGGGATCCCGGGACCCGGTGCACCAGCCGACAGCGCCCAGCGGAGATAGTGATACAGTTCCTTCTTGAATGCCTTGTCGGCGGCTTTTTGCGCCTTGGTGGATTCTTCGGGAGTGAGGGTTGCGCTTTCAGTGTCCGGGGTGGTGCCGTCGTAGGCGGTTATGTTTGCGCGGTGGGTTTCGAGTGTCCAGTGTGCGGGCGGCACGAGGGTGAGTGCGAAGCTTGCGGTGTGGAGGGAGGTTAAGGGGATAGTAGTGGTTGTGGATGAGGGGGTGTAAGGGGGTCGGGTGAGGGATTGGGTGAAGAAGGTTGAGTTGCGGGTTGTGAAGTCTGTGGCGTTGGTGTAGGATTTGGCGTCGGCGCGGAGGAGAGGGGCGATGTAGGTTTGTAGGGAGCGGGATTGGAGGAGGGGAGTGCTGTGGGTGAGTAAGTGGTTAGTTATTTTGTTTTGTGGATGTATGTATAGGGGGACGTACAGTTGCGCCGCTGGGTAGGTTTTCTCGACTTCTTCGGAGACCTTGGTCACCATCTCGGTGAACTCGGGGCCGTCGGTGGCGGCGAAGCGTTGGGCGTGCGCTTTCTGGAGGAACCAGAGCTTTTCGAAGGCCACGACGGTGTTGCCACGGGTGATTTTGAGGTTGAACTGTTTGGTGTTAGTGGGTTTGTTTGAGTGAGTGAAGGGAGAGGTAGAGGAACGAACGAGTTGCTCTAGCTCTTCAAGGTTGAAGATGTCCGATTTCTGGGTGTGCGACCAGCCCAGGAGAGCGGCAAAGTTCACGAGAGTTGCGGCAAAAATGCCCTGGGTGTCTTTGAAGAAGCTGAGATCGATATCTGCATTGCGCTTGCTGAGCTTCTGTCCTGACTTGTCTACGAGCAGAGGTACGTGACCGAACTGCGGTGGCGTCCACTTGAAGGCGTTGTAGAGTGCGACGTGCATGGGGGTCGAGGGCATCCATTCCTGATTAGAGTGTCAGCTTGCGCATCTTCTTTGGCATCTCTTCCATCGCAGCTTACCGTTCCTCGAATGACATGGGTGATCTTCATGAGATGATCATCCACCACGTTCGCCAGATGATAGGTCGGGTGTCCGTCGGACTTGATCAAGATGGGATCATCATAGACACGCTCGATCAGATCCAACTTGTTCGGCGAGCGGTTCTGGCCTGTCTTTCCGTACACCAGATCATTGAACATCGGGTATCCCTCCACCTTCAGTCGAACGACATGCGCTTCGCCCTTGGCCGCTCTCTCTTCCGACTCCTCCGCTGAGACCTCCCCGCATTTCCTATCGTAACCGGCCGGCAGTCCAGCTTGGCTGCGATGTCTGGCGAAAGCGTCCAATCGATCGGCAGAGCAGAAGCAGCGGTAGGCGTGACCGTTCTCGATCAGCTCCTGCGCGTGGGAGCGGTAAATGGCGGTTCGTTCGGACTAGAGCCTCTCTTAGTGATTGGCCCTAATGAGCATGTCTTCTTCTATCATACCTGTCTGTAAGGACCGTACGGACCACCGACGACCGGACCTGTAGAGAGCAATCATCCGTTAGCCATCCACTAGCCTCGCACGGTTCCGCGCGAATTGTCTCCGCACCTTCATCCCAGTGCAGTCCAGCCCACCGAAGGTCATCATAAAGCCTCTGCTCAGCATCCGGAATTGTACGTTTCTGTAGCCAATCCCTCAATTAGCCCTACCTCCTTCCAAGGTCGATCCACAGCTGTTTGGCCAGCTAATCACCGCACCTGATCCGTATCCTCAATGCGCAGCAAGAACTGTCCCCCGGTGCGCTTCGCCAAAAGGTAATTGAACAGGGCCGTCCGCAAAGATCCCAAGTGAAGATAACCGGTCGGGGACGGTGCGAATCGAGTCCTCGCCGGCGAGTCAGGCAACTTGGTCTTCTTGTTGATCGTATTGTTATTGCCAGCGCGGAGATTCGATGCCGGCGCGACGGAGGAATACCGGGCTCGGCATTGAGTGCAGACCCAAGGACGACGGGCCCAGACGGTCGGGGTTGTTGGGCGCCTGAGCATCGCGAGTGACAGGACAGATATCAAACTGCCGATGCTAATGCTATAGAAGTAACAAGTATGCGCTGAAGCTGGGGAAAATGAATGGCGGAGAAAGAAAGATAAATCCCGACAGAAAAGGCGGAAAGCGCAATTAAATGTTATGTGATTGGTGGATACCTGGCGGCAATAAATAATTATCGGGCGCTGCTTTTATCGCGATTGCTTTGCCTTTTTACTTTTACTGCCTCAGCCGCTCTCTCTCTTTTCTCTCTCCCCCTCTATTTACTTGGTCGCCAGGAACACACGGATTTGCTGGCTTTAGACTTTGCTCTTTTCTGCTTGTTGTTTATACTGTTATCTTTGATACCCTTTATTCGTCGCTCGTGTTCGTTGGGGATCTTACTCTCTACTTCCTACTATCAGTATGTGTTCCCGCTATCGCTTAAAAATCAGACATTACTAGCTTGAGGTTCCAGTATGCTGACTGATTTGGTCTGGTTTAGTGTCGAAAGCGGACGTTGACCTCTACGGTATATATATTGTCTACTCTTATTCTTTGCTTAGAAAAATGCGAAAAGCCTACACTAGCACCAGCGACTAATCATAATGTGATGGATTGTAGAGGTCTTGGGCATTGACAAGAGTGCCAGCAAGGATGACGTCCGGAAGGCTTATCGCAAGGTATGCAGCTTCTCTATATCGGTCGCAGTGTCCAAGCACAGTCTAATATATCCTTTTATCTTATAGGCCGCCCTAGCAAACCACCCCGACAAAGTCCCCGAAGCCGAAAGAGAAGAAGCAGAGGTTCGATTCAAGGCCGTGCAGGAAGCCTACGACATCCTCTACGACGAAGAAAAGCGTGAAATCTATGATACCCACGGAATGGGCGCTTTCAACGGCTCCGGTGAACCGGGTATGGGCGCGGGCCCTGATCTGGATGATATTCTTGCGCAGATGTTCGGTGGTATGGGAGGTATGGGCGGCATGGGCGGCATGCCCGGTGGACCGCATGCGCGTAAGCCGCGCAAGAGCCCGGATGAGGAGCAGAAGTATGAGGTTCGCCTGGAGGATCTGTACAAGGGCAAGACAGTCAAGTTTGCTAGTACGAAGAACGTGATTTGCTCTCATTGCCAGGGCAAGGGCGGTAAGGAGAGGGCGACGGCCAGAAAGTGCTCCACTTGCGATGGTGAAGGTAGGTTTATACACTTTGGAACTTGCTGTGCAGAATTTCGGGCTAATGTGCTCAGGTTACAAGCAAATCTTGCGCCCGATGGGTCAGTTCCTGTCTCCGGCTATGGTGCCCTGCCCTACCTGTAACGGAGCGGGTGACTACTTTGTCGACAAGGATAAGTGCAAGAAGTGCAAGGGCAAGAAGACCACCGAGGCCAAGAAAATGCTGGAGATCTACATCCCTCGCGGGGCGAGGTGAGTCTGCTATATGTGGCACTGTCTGTAGTGTAATCACTAACTCTGTGTTAGGGAAGGAGACAAGATCATCCTCGAGGGCGAGGCCGACCAGGTGCCGGGTCAGGAACCTGGAGATATCGTTTTCCACATCGTGGAAGAGGAGCATGAAACTTTCCGGAGGGCTGCTGCCGACCTGACAGCAACAATTGATGTTACGCTGGCCGAGGCCCTGACGGGCTTCTCCCGGGTGGTGGTCAAGCACCTTGACGGTCGCGGAATCGAAATCCAGCACCCCAAGACCCCCGGTGAGGTTCTCTACCCGGGCCAGGTCCTGAAGGTTCCTGGTGAGGGTATGCCCATCAAGCGCAGCGATGCTCGCGGCGACCTGTACCTGGTCGTCAACATCAAGTTCCCCGACGGGCAATGGAAGCCCAGCCCTGCTGTTCTGGAGCAGCTCAAGGAACTGTTGCCCAAGCCGGAACCCCCCATTCAGGCTGACACCGTGGACGAGGTGGAATTCGACCCCAAGGGCAACCTGGATGACTTTGGGGCGCATGACCCCGAAGGGGGTTCTGCCTGGGAGGATGACGATGAGGGTGAGACAACTGCTCAGTGTGCGACGCAGTAGACTCTTGGCATGCTTATGCTTTCTCTGTATCTGTTTTGCCTCTGCTCCTTCTTTTGTTTTTGTCCTTTTTAAGGACATTATACCTCTCTGCTTGTTCACCTCATGATGATAGACTCGTTGGCTGCTTCTGGATCAGCTCCCCTCTCGCATCGTGGGCGTTTCGGGTCAACTTTTATGGATTGATCGATGAGATAAATACAGTTTTATGATGGGAATGATGATTGTTGAGTGTGCAACTCTTTTGTGTCCAACGTAGACAAAGGACCTTGTGCAGAGAGCTTCTTAATCTGAGTCATGACTCCTATCAGCCAATGAACCACCAATGCGCCTACGATTATGTGACTACGGAGAAAGACATCGGTGGACATGCTGAGGCATACATATCCAGGAGCATGTCATGGCATGTCGAGGGACTGACTTTGTTGGAAGGAACATAAAAGGACCGTCAATATCTGGATATAGTTCTGCCTACTATATCTTATCGACAAGGTATTGACTAGCCTAGTACTTTTACATCTTACTGACTTGGCAGGATAGGCATATTGTTTTCATGGTTTCTGAAATTATCGTAGGTGCTTTGGAGGATGGTGGGTATCATCAATGTGCAGAGAGGTATTTGGTCTCGCACTCACTACACTCCTCCCTCTCTCTACACGAAACTGTCGACGCATACCAAACATCCAACACGTACTCTTCGGATGACCGCAGCCCCCCTAAATAACATGCGACTTTTAGCTCTATAAGGCTGTATAAGGGTTTTGTTGGCTACCTTGCTCGGTTTGAATTAGCCGCTGTACAGACAATGCCGGCACTCATGAGCGACTTTCTTGGCTTCCCGGTGCTCCCCATCGTCCGGAAAGGACACACGTGGTCCTTCCTTTTTGGCGTGTTCAGGGCACTTGACAAATTCGCTATTGAGACTGTGGTCGCAAGAGTAGCGAATTTGATATTGTGTGCAAACGTCCAGTTGAGGAGGCATGGTTCGTGGTATAGGAAAATAGTCAATAGCGCTATAATAGAAGCGATTTCACGTATTGAATATGCCCAAGTAGAAGCCCTCAATGGATGTACGTAATTCATAAGTAGGTCGATGTGCGGAATTGTTGATCAGGAAGACTGGGAATTGAGTTCCTTAAATAAGTTGGGCGAGTAGTGTGAAATGTTCAGGGCCATCAGTGACTGAATGTGTAGTATATACCCTCGTTAATAACTGTATGGGGGTGCTTAATTGAATGGGCTCATTGCACCTCCGTCGGTGGGTGAATATGTTTTGTCCCTGTTCATTATCCAGGTAATATATCGAGATTGTGAAGTTGTTGCAGAGTGCTTTCACAAATTATTCCGAGATCTGAAGCGTTGGGAAGATATCCACTGGCTTCTTCAATGATTAAATCCAAACCAATCCCCAATTCCCCATCCACTTTATACATCAATGGGCTGTTGATTGTTGTCGGGAGTATCCATCTGATCTCAGGCTTAGTCCCAAGTTCTCTTAGATGTGAGAAGTGTGAGAACTTGGAGAGCTATAGTGACAAGGGAATCAGGTTACTTTATGTAGATACCAGTGGCGGATTACAGTTACCTATCTGGGAAGTTCCTCCCATTCACCTTTTTCTTCTGATTAGTTCTAACTTCACCTCTACTAAATTCAATCGGTACTTCACTGTATGCCCTTCGGCTTCTGCCTGCTGACCTTGTCGGTAGCTTCCGTTTCTTGAATCTCTCTTTGCCGGCTGTCGCCGTCCTCAATTTGCAAGTATTCTTTTTAGACCTTTTGGATAGAGAGTAGTTTCTAATTGTATGTATACGGAGAAGTCAACATGTATGAGATCCTTTACTCCAAATTACTATAGCATGACCGTAGGTGGCCTTGTTCCCAGTTTCCCTTCTGATTGGCTGTTATCCAAGTTCTGCAGAAATATGGCTCTTCCATTGGTTGGTTGCACCTTGCAGGTTGCCCACACTGACCACTTGCGCACCCCATCAAATATAAGCGGCCAGTCCAAGTAAATCCGTCAACTGGCAAATCAATCATTGACTTCCTCGTGAGCAGAGCATGTTAGGATCACACGCGAAATCAATAACCTACTGAATCTGCCAGCCAATGATATTGCTGAATATTTCTGTTTGTTTCTAATTGCTAGATAAGATAATATCATTACTTTGCAAGGAAGTGGTAGATAGTCAGAGCCGATGTCAACCAGTGAGTGACCTTTCGCAGTGCCCAAGTATTAGATAGGTCGTCAACTGGCAAGTCTCTGGCCAATTGTTTACACAGCTTAGAAATCCATATTTTATGGCTTGTGAGTTATAAGGATTGCGTCAGATTTGTCTACGATATATCCGACTCATAAGTGCGGGAAACAGAGTTTCCTGACCCGATCCAACACTACCTATGATGCTGTGCATTGCAGCTGCACAACGCCACAGGTGCTGGCTTCGGACTTTTAACGGGGTTGCAAACCCGGGCTGGTTCAACACAAGTCGGGATGAGGGAATAAATAATGCATGAATACCGAAAGAAGAATTGTAACCCCCATGCTCTTTCTCCAGGCCCCTCCGTGCCCCCATGGATATAGCGTGGGGTACACACCTCCCACGGGCTCCATCTCCATCACCTCGACCAACCAACTAAACCAACCCGAGCCGAGAGCCACGCGATCCAAGGCTGATTTCCGAAACATTGGTACGGGGTCCCCATCACACCTCCAGCCTGTTTGCTGCTATTTAATTGTCAGCTTTCCCACTGTGCCTGAGTTTCCATTCCAGATAGTTTCCGAGTGGTATTCTAACAATTTTTCGCTTTTTCTTCCGCTCTCTTTTGATGCTCCTTTCGGTACGCGGCTAATCTGACTCGGACATTCTCCGCCGATTAACTCGGCACCGGCGCACCGCATTCCTAATCCCGGGGTAACCTTCTCGGTGTCAAGGCGTCAAAGCAGCGGTCTTATTTTGCGACCCTGCTTCCTCCGTCATAGTAACTTTGAATAGCCATATAGCTAGTGAAGTGTTTGTCGACAGACAACGGACCATCCAACATGTCGTGCCAGTCACAGGCTTCATGCGAGGGCTGCTCTTGCAGCGGCAGTGGCAGCAAAGGAGTGGTTAATATTGAAGATTGTGAAACCGAGCTTCTCGCCCTCCGGAAGAAAACCATAGAACTTGAAAAGACTCTTGCATCCATGAAGAGTTCGTCAAGCAGCACACCGAAAGCCGGACGCAAGCTGCGGTCCACCAAGTGGTTTCAGTGCGAAGGCGACCCAGGAATGATGGCCTTGTACATTGAAAGATACCTCAACTATGGTGTGACTCGGGAGGAACTGATGTCTGGCAAGCCTATCATCGGAATAGCTCAAACCGGATCCGATCTGGCACCGTGCAACCGTCATCACCTGGAGCTTGCCAAAAGGGTCCGAGAGGGTATCAGAACTGCTGGCGGAATCGCCTTCGAGTTCCCCACCCACCCCATTCAAGAGACTAGCCGACGGCCCACCGCTTGTATCGATCGGAACCTTTCTTATCTTGGCCTCGTTGAGATCCTTCATGGCTATTTCTTGGATGGGGTGGTCCTCCTCACTGGGTGCGACAAGACCACTCCGGCATGCCTGATGGCTGCTGCCACAGTCGTACGTTGTTCTGCAAGACTTGCATCTTATTTTTCCACAGCTGCCCAACTGACTCGGATTCCCAGAACATCCCTGCTATATGTCTCAACGTCGGTCCAATGCTAAATGGTTATGTGAAGGATGAACTGGCTGGTTCGGGAATGGTGGTCTGGAAAGGCAGAGAGATGCATGCTGCAGGACAGATCACCACGGAGGAATTTGTAGATTACATCTCCCGCGGGTACGTCACGAGATTTTGGACACGCTTTCCTGGCTTGGACTAACACTTCGCATTAGTGCACCGTCAGCAGGACATTGCAACACGATGGGTACGGCATCTACTATGAATGCGCTTGCAGAAGCCCTTGGCATGGCCCTGCCTGGGTCAGCTGCCATTCCAGCTCCCTACCGTGAACGAGCTCAATGTGCCTATGAGACCGGATTACAGATCGTAGAGATGGTGCACTCTGATCGCAAGCCAAGTGACATCATGACCAGAGAAGCTTTCGAGAATGTCATTGCTGCCAACACCGCGATTGGAGGTAGTACGAATGCTCCCATTCATATCAACGCCGTCGCGAAGCATATTGGGGTGGATCTTTCGCTAGATGACTGGGACCGCATCGGGTTCCACATCCCGCTCTTGCTAAATATGCAGCCGGCGGGGGAGCTGCTAGGGGAGGAGTATTACCGAGCCGGAGGGTTGCCGGCTATTATGGCGGAGCTGCTGGATGCGGGCAAGTTGAATGCAGATGCTGTGACGTGCAATGGCCACACTGTAGCACAAAACGTCCGTGGGAAACATACCTGGAATCGGCGGATGATCAGAGCTTATGACGATCCTCTTCTCAAGGATGCTGGCTTCCTTCACTTGACCGGCACCCTGTTTGACTCGGCCATTATGAAAACATGCGTCATCTCTGAGCCGTTCAGGCAAAAATTCTTAGAGAACCCCGCAGATCCAAATGCATTCGAGGGGTCTGTGGTAGTTTTTGATGGACCGGAGGATTACCATCGTCGGTTAGAGGACCCCTCCACCCCCATCACTGACACAAGTATCCTGGTGATGCGCGGGGCTGGTCCACTGGGCTATCCCGGTGCAGCTGAGGTGGTCAACATGCACCCTCCGGGAAGGCTGCTGCGAGAGGGGGTCAAGTCGCTTCCATGCATTGGTGATGGACGGCAGTCGGGAACTTCAGGATCTCCATCTATCTTGAACGCTAGTCCTGAGGCAGCAGCGGGTGGTAACCTTGCAGTCCTTCGGGATGGAGACCGGCTCCGAGTGGACCTTAACCAGCGGCGGGTAGACATCCTTGTCTCTGCGGACGAATTAAAGAAGCGAAAGCAGGAGCTCGAAGCAAGTGGGGGTTACAATATGCCGGAAAGCCAGACCCCATGGCAGGAGTTATTCCGCAAGGAAACGTCCCAGCTGAACGAAGGAATGGTTCTCCGAGAGGCAGTCAAATACCAACGGCTGGCGCAGCGATACCCGGAGCCCAGGCACAATCACTGAATAATGACTATTTTGTTATGGATTAATCTGAATAATGAAAAACCATCACTTCTTTGACCCACCAGCCGCTTCATGGGATGGCGCGTGCGCGCAACAAAACACAGTTCATCACGCAGGCTTGTTGCTTGATGATATCATGTTGTGGAAACAGCTCAATACCCACTATAGGAAACGCGATTAGTAGGCATTCAGTACCCGATCAGACCTCAATCCGGAGGATACACCACCGGACCAATAGAGCTGTATGAGCTTAATAGCTAATGAGCTAGTGAAAGCTAGATTTGGGAAGAGAGTATATGCGAGATAGCATCTCCGCAAGGGTATTAGGTGGAATTATGGCGCGTGGGATGGCACATGGAGCACAGAGTATGGAGGAAGCTCTGAAGGAATGTAAAAGCTAAGCTGCAGGCCATCTGGCCACTGCTCAATCACGGGATTACCAGCCCCTCCTTTGAACTGTTCCGTCTTCTTTTCGTGCCTGGGAAAGAGCAGAAGACGTGCGATCTGTGCGACATCCGTCCGTGAGCCTCTGTTGACTCACTCCCGTCTACCTCTCACCCCCCCCACTAAACAGTGTCGGTCTTGACACCGCCATAATGTGCTTGATAGCACAGGGGCCTGAGCAACCCTCAGAAACACTTGTTGTGGCCCAGTGGTGAATTGCAGAACAAGGAACCTTGGAATGACTGCACGCCTGCATGAACAACACGGCAGGGCCGTAATAATCCTGGCTTCTGTGATTTGATCCCAAGAATGTAGCTTGGCTCGGCCAAGCTAGCTAATGCGGTGATTATTTCATTTTTGAACTTCAGTGTTGCTCATCTGCTAAAACTTTTGATAGGAGAACGGCACTAGTGATATCATGTTTTGGCGATCGCAGCCAGACTAGCTCGCTAAGGCATATTAGCCACATGGTGTGCGACACCAACAATAACAACTATGCTACTACCCTCAGGACTGCAGCCGAAGAAAGGGATAGAAAGTCAAAATTCAACCGAGGAAGGATCGAGACCAGCCCGAAAATGAGAGCCAAGATCGGGTGATTTCGTGATAGAGGTCTCGAACCCCCAAGGTGAAGTGTTCACTACGCGATGCCCCGGGTGACATGATAGGGGGTGGTGGTCGTGATGGAGGCCACCAAGCAAGGACTTGAGTCACCATGGAGTAGTGTGCGCCATAGGCACAGCCACCGCAGCCCGGAGGTGAAGTAATTTTAGGCAACTGAATCTAGTGGATGATGTGATCCGTGATGCTCACGTTCGTACTCGGATTCTGTTTCTGCCCTCACTCGATTTTTCAATAGCTGATTGGAATGATACAGTCTATGCATCAAAGCAACACACCTCGCAGCTCGGAAGCAACATATCCAGGATCGGGATATCAAAATACGGGCCTGGATGGCGGAAAAAGACACAGAAGGGAAAAGTTAAAATATCGCCCGAGGGTGGATCCCGTGGGGCTCGGGTTTCCCGCGTCAAAGTTTCCTGTTGCAGGGCAAAGATTCCATTGATTTAGGGCGGGATTAGGGTGTTTAGGGTGATTAAAGCCCACGGAACGGATCCAGTTGCAAGTTCAGTTGCCCACGCTACCGTTTGGGATGACGGGCGCCTTCTCAGTGTGGTCTAGCCCGTGACATCAAGAAAAATTTTCCACACTTTTCCAGTTTCCACACCCACAATTCTTAGGTCCGCCTGACTGACTTACTCTGACCTCAGACCGCCCCAGAGGCGCGCACCATCTCGAATTTCCTGCCTCTTTTTAAACCAATCCGGTGCTCGTTATTTGTCCTGTTGCTCTCTCGCTCTCTCCCTCCTTCCAATTCCTGCATACGTCTCCTTTGACGGACATCCATGCTCCTTGTTCCTTTCTGTCCAGTCAGATGCGAGCTTGCCACCATGCGGTTCTAAGAAGCAATCCTAAAGAAAGAGCTGTCCACACCGTCCCGCTGCTTCTACTGCTGCGCCTGTTGCTTTAGCTGTCTCGCGGCCCCTCTTCCCAGCTTCCCAGGTCTCCTGGTCCTGTCGATCAGTCCCAATTCCAATAAATAAAGCCCGTCTCAATCCAGACTTTTTCTTCCTTCAGGCTTCGCGAAGAAAAAGAAATCTGACCCTCCATTCAACTTTGGGCCGGGCCTAGACTGTCGCCAGGCACGTCTACATATACATACAATCGCACACACCGCATCGTTACAGCGTGTCGTGCATCTCGCTCTTGCCTTCCCCTGGACTTGAGCCATCTTATCGGACGCAGTCTCGACGAATCCTACTCCTTTCCCAAAGCACTTGGGGGCACAATCAGCCTTTATTGATTGTTGCCTAACATCCTCTTTTCCTCCTTCATCTTCTACTTTCAGGTTATACTACTTGTTTGTTTAAGATGTACGTCGACTTATAACCCGTCGTTGCAACTCGCAACCCGTTGTTTCTTTGATATTCTGTTCATCAGCAAGCGAGCGTTCTCTCGATCTTCTTTCTACACATTTGAAGTTATCAAAATCTCTCTCGACATCGTGTCATCCTGAAAAAAAGCCTACTCAATTCTCATTACCATGGCTCCCAACCTCTTTCTCTGTTTGCGGAACGTGTTCTGCCCGACCTACTGGTTCCAGCGTGGAGAACGCATCCAAGGTTCTATCCACAAAGAGGAACATTGGGACAGTCCCGTTCCTGGCATCTACAAGTACATCCCGGGTCGAGGATGGCATCTTGTCTACAAAGACGGCAATGACAGCGACGAGAAAGTGCCTGTTCCGCTTGTCTATTGCCGGATCCTTCACCGATACATCTTTGAACACGAAATGGAGGAGCGCTGCCGCTGGCACACCGTGGAAATCCACGAAGGCGCCAAGCCAGAAAAATTCATGTTCTTCCTCCTTGATGATGGATACACCTGGGTGGCCGGATGGGATGCCAAGGGCAAATTCATTCCTGGTCCTTACCAGAAATGGCACTACGATGCAGAGTCGAGGACCCTGCGCCGGGTGCTCTTCCCCGAAAGCTCGAATGTGTCCCGGGCTAGCATTTTGCCGAACAAGATGACTTGACCCTTGAACCCTGAGGGGGAACAAATTGAAAACTTCTTTTGCTGTCAACACATTTGCTTGACCATCGCGATGCTTTCTGCAGCTGGATTCTACAGAACATGCGGTGGTCGAATGCGCGTGCACACGACTGATTGATTGCTATATGGGATAGCGTTTAAGCGAGGTGTCTTTCTTATTTGCTTCCTTTTTTTTTCTTGTTTTCCTTTGCTACTTTTTTATGATGATATTCACACATGAGCCTGTAATGCTGGGATGAATCTGCTTTTCTGCAGTGACCTTGTTTACAAAGCGACAATGGCGTTCGGGTCAAGGTCATAGAAAATCGGATAGACATTGCGATAGAGCGCATGGGGGTTTGGCTTTGTCGTCTTCTTGTTCATTTCACATCTTCTGTATTTCTTATATTTCGGGTGACTGATCATTCAGCGAACCGCACAATGGAGCAAAGGACAGTCTATTTTTACACACTACATAATATCTTAGTATCAACGTATTTGTCATGGGTCACTTGAAGCTCAAAATTGAGAGATGTACTCGGGTAGACATTGTGGGAAAGTTTAGCGCATGCAAGTCCGGGTATGGATGGGATCGACATGACAGCTGCATGAGATGTATCGTCGCAGGATACTTCTTCCTTTACTTACTGTAAGTACTCTACTGCACTTTTCACATGTGAGTCGGAACTAAATCGGGGTTGCCGTGGTCCTATGGATGACGGAGTAAACCAGAATCCTTTCCCTGCTCCTCCAGTATTTCAATCTACCTCTACACCCCAGCTATCTGATACATAAGCTATCGACATCCACATCCACAACATCGAATAGCCAATAAATGCCACCAGGACACTTAGCATAACACTCAGTATAACCGCATCCCCTTCTATCAACTATATACAAAATCCCAGACCGAATATCCATCCCATTCACCAGGAACAGAACAGGTCTCACCACCATTCTCCCCAACCCTACTTAGTACCTACCTACCTACAACTTCGCCCCCTTCCCACCACCACCACCAACAGCAGTATCATCACTCACAAGCAACCTCTCCAACCCCCTCCTAACACCCACCTCCATCCCCTCCCTCGTCGGCCTCATCGTCTCCCTCGCCACAAACACATGCGTATACCCCCCAACAACCTTGACCTCTTCCTCCCCTTCCTTAAACACCCCGACTTCATACGTCACGCTGCTATTCCCCAGCTTCGTGACCCGCAGCCCCAGGTCTAGTATATCTGGGAATGAGACCGAGGAGAAGTAGTCGCAGTAGGAGGAGACCATTATGCCTACTTGGTTGCTCTTGAATCCGGGTGTAGATGTGGTAGTGGTGGTGGTGGAGGAGGAGGGGTCAGGTGTAGTAAGTGTGGGGTTGTTGTGCGTGAAGGGATCCATTCCGCAGTGCGTGATTAAGTACGTGTTTATTATGCTGTCGAAGAGCATGGCGTAGGCTGTGTTGTTGAGGTGGGCGTACATGTCGTTGTCGAACCTGGATTTTATCTGTTAGAGGTGATGGATGGGGTGGGGGAGGGGAGGAGGAGGAGGAGGGTAGTGGCTCACCATCTTGTTCGGTGCGTTTGGTGGTAGATGTAGTCGCTTCGGAGACGGCGCTTTTTGTGCGCTATGGAGGTGGACATTTTGCGGTGAGTGTGTTTGAAGATGTTTGGGGATGTTGATGTGAGGGAATGTTGGTGTAGTTTAATGTTGTCTGTATGGTAGATGAGGAGATGGATGAATTGATGGGTAGGTTGGAGCTACCGAGTTGAGCCGAGGCATAAAGCCGCCGCCCTGAGCTTGTTCCCACGGGGTGGGAGGGTCATCCGAGGGCCGTTTGTTGGGCGGTCGCCCCTGGCGGGATTCTGCTTAGGTTCAAGCAGAAGCAGTGTTTAGTGACACAAATCTAACTTCAGGGATTTTCAAACATTGTTTGTTTCTTTACGTAGACTTTCTACATTGTTTATTATATTGTATATTAAGCTATTGTACATTATTTTCCCTGATACTAATACAGTTCACTATGAACTTGTCAACCACGGATCTGTCAATAGTTCGCGGGCGCTCTGTCTCTCTTCTGGATCCCATCGAAGCATCTTCTTCATAAAGTTCATGAACATCTGCTTGTTCTCACCTTCTAGATACTCTTCTGACTCATCCAATGAAATAGATGGGATCTTCTCAGATGCCTTCCATTGGCCTATTATCGATTAGCTATTGGATAAGTGAATGTTGTAATGTTGAAGATATACCTGACGAGTCCCAGTACTCCAGGCTGCGAGGTGATTTACGAAGCAATCCCACTGGTGGAGGCCCCAGCATCGCTACCATTTCGGCCAGAAGTTGCGCATCTGAATGGCAACCGTCTGGTCCTCTGCCATCAGCCCATTCCCGGAAAACTGAATCGTCTTTTGCAGCAATGATGATATTCTTTGCTTGGATATCTAAAGAGAACATTAGCCAATTATAGATGATAGCCCGCGACGGGTTACAGACCAGTATGTATTACATGCGCCTCTGATTGTGGATAATCAAGGGCCAGTAAAAGCTGCTGCAGTGCCCCTTTTAGTAGGTCCTCAGGAAGGCTCATTGGGTCCAATGTTGCCTGGAAATGCAGGAGGCTTGTTGACAGAGGTTCGTAAACAATGCACTGATGTATGTCTTTGGGACCCGTAAGCTCAAATTTCTCTATCATTTGGCGGACGAGACTGCTGCCAGGATGCTGTGACTTTATCCGCGAAAGGTGCTCCAATACGCGCACCTCTTGGTTGCCCCTCGAGCTGCTGATGTATACTTTCAGCGCTATATACCGGTGGTGTCTACCTAAGAAGTTAGCTACACATACGAGATTCGAGAAGAGTAGACTGATACCAACTGCAAGTCACGACCGAACCACACCGTTGAGTTTGCCCCAAAACCCAATTTGCTGATAACTTGGTACCTAGAATGAAATACATCACCAAGCTTCACTGGATAGTAGAGACCACGCTCATACGCAGGCATTCGTTCTTCCTCTATTGTCTTTGTTGAGTCCAGAATGGGACAGCTAGATGACATGGCCCTTCTTGGGAGAACTGGCAGTCGAGAGAATCGACTGAACTGAAGAAGGATCTTCATCGCAGAAAGTTAAGATTGTATACTAAAAGCTATTGATCATGAAAATGCCATAATAGCGCAATATTCCTACAACCTAACGATATATTATTATTGCCAGGACTTTCCTCGAAAGGGCAGCCGCCGAGGTTCTGTTGCTTGCATTTTATTGCCTCTTTCGGTAGTGATCTGCATAGTAAGTCATCGACACCTTGTGGATTAGGTGTCAACCTCTTGTGACTAACCTATTTCTGGGCTAGTGTCATGCTTTTCCATACTCGATATCGATGAAGGTGGTTCTCTTCCTTGAGATTGTCTGATATTCTTAAGCTTGCATTGGTCACATACATGGGTTACTATGTAGAATGTATGATTTTCACATGTCTTTAGGTTGGGTTTTGAACATTCTTCTTGTACTATCTTGCACGTGACATTAGAAACTCACCAGAAATAGCAACTATGAACCACTGTAGTTTATTTTCGACTGAATTTCCATTTCCCCTTTTATACTGGTCACCAGGTGCCTTACCAGTAATTTCTAAATACATACGATCTGGCGACCTGCCGACCTATACCACTGTCCGAACCCACCCCTAGTGCGCTTTAGATGCGTGACTACTCGGTCACCTAGTTAAAGGCTAGAAATCTGAGCCAACAGCTTCAGAACGCGTAACAATTATAAGCGTCACTCGGGCAATTGACTCGGACGTAGATGGTGAAACCTCTTGAATGAGTGGAGGCCTGCACTACTAACCGAAGCAATCCTATATTCTCTGTCCAATCCCTGCTAAGCTCGAGAGCGCCTCAAATAGGAAAATTGTTTACCCGAGCGGACATCTCGCCCCTAATCGCTACATCTAGTCATCTACATGACCCAAGATCGGTCTAGATCCACTCTTTGTTGGCTGAGTTCACCCCGTCTCAATCTCTCAACCCTGCAACAAAGGTGCTTATTTCGGAGAATGGCTCAGGACCATGACTCACATAATATGTTGAAACGTCGTCTACTTCGCGGGGAGATCACATACGCCGCCGCAAAGGAGCAAGACTCTAATATCCTCCACGAATTGGGATACAGGGATCAGAAGATTCGATATTTTACTCATTTGTATCGAAATCGCAAGCTAATCGAATCAATCGTGGCCCACCATCTCAACCTCCCTTCTGCAGACACGTGTCATGCAGTCGATGTTGAGGACTGGATACATGGCAGCTTCAATGTTTGCATACGAGTTGAGGTTGATAGTCAAGGGCGGGATCCTAGGAAACAACTGATGATCAGATTTCCATTGCCGTACCGAATAGGGGAGAACTCTTGCCCAGGTAATACGGATGAGAAGGTTCGTTGCGAAGCTGGGACCTACTCATGGCTTCAAGAGAACTGTCCAACTATCCCTATACCACAGCTGTATGGGCTTGGACTGTCTACTGGCCAAGCTGTATGTCCGCGCTTTGCCTGTCTTCTAAGAATTATTGCTTACAATCCCAGTTCACACTCCTCGATAATCTGCCTTTCGTAACCCGCATTGTTGAGCGTCTGCGCCGTCGACTATTGGCTTGGCTAAATTATCCGACCCCATCCCTCTATGTTCAACATCGAGCCAATGTTCAAACTATGTTGGGCACCCCTTATCTTCTAATTGAGTACATCGATCCGTCGAGAGGTAAAATGCTTTCTGAAACGTGGGAGGAAGGGCGCCACAATCTCAAACTACGCACAAACCTTTTCCATGGGCTCTCCCGTATCATGTTGGGTTTGGCACGTATTCCGCTACCAAGAATCGGGTCCTTCCTTCTGGATGAAAAAGGATACTTAACTTTAAGTAACCGACCTCTTACCCTTGAAATCCATCAACTAGAAACTGAACACATTCCAGTCGACATGCCGCAAAATATCACTTATTCTACTGTTGACGCCTATGTCAATGACATCCTTGCATTTCATGAAAGCCGGCTTCGCCACCAGCCTAATGCAGTCAACAATATCGAAGATGGCTTCTATCAAACATCCGCATTGATGGTCATGAGAAGTGTCTGGACCTGTTTTTTTCGCCGTGATCTCCTCCGAGGTCCCTTTTTTCTTAATCTCACCGATCTTAACCAGAGTAACATCTTTGTTGACGACGATTGGAACATCAAATGTCTAATAGATCTCGAGTGGGCATGCTCTCAACCAGTGGAAATGATACATCCCCCGTACTGGTTGACAAATCAGGCTATTGACTTGATCAGCATGGAGGACTTTGAAGTTTCTCACAGGGAGTTCTTGGAAGCCTTCGCAGACGAAGAGAAGGAATTCGAGCTACCAGTCCGTCTCTATCCTATCTTGCAGCATGGATGGGAGAGAGGGACATTTTGGTGTTCTCTTGCGCTCAGTAGCCCTACGGCTTTATTCAAGATCTTTTATGACTTCATTCAACCGAGGTTTTCTAAAGCTCACGACGATCCAGCTTTCTGGCAAATCACTATGCCCTACTGGACATTCGACACCTTTAAGTTTATAGAGCAAAAGGTGAAGGACAAAGAGCAATATGATAATTCCTTGCGTGAAGCATTTGAATCCGGAAGCTCTCATGACTAGAGCGTACAAAACCTGATCATCCTCGCTCACTGCCCTTGACCTGCACGCCTGCTTCCCTCACCACTTTGCTCCACCTTCCGTTTAAAGTCTTCTACTGCATTCTGAAGGCTCAAATAGACTTCTTCCCCCTGTTCTGCTTTGCAGCTTTGCCGGAAGAAGAGAGTTGATTGATTGATCTAGCGTCCATCTTCATAGCCACGTGTGCTTCTTCAATTTTACCATCGTAACTTGAATCCGAGTGTCGGTCCGCCAATCCAATTTCGGGTAGGTGATTTCAACAGAGGACAAATGTGCTGGAGGGGGAAAGGGAAATTGTCGCTCTACGTCGATTCGTCCCAGATATATATACCAGTATGCCATTCGGGAGGGGGTTGCTAACTGCAGCAATCTTTGATTCGCGACTGGCATATTTTCGAAGCGCGTAGGTCTAACTAAGCAAACTGAGATACCAGGTACCTACTACTACCCATGTTCGCGCCCAATATCCGAGGACCAACAGGAATGGGCGCCGTGTTGGCGCAGCGATGCTTGATATGAGCGACGACCCGTCACTGACCTAAATGGCGATTAATTAGGCCCTAGCGGAGAGTATCTAAGTACTAATAGTAGTAGACAAGCCCTGTCAAAAACAGCCCATATACATACATTAATCTCCTGGTGATACTGGATATGACTGAAGTATAGAAGTATATGGTTGAGTCGAAAGTTGGCTTGCTGCTTGAACAATTGCGGGATCTAATGTTATATACTCTACTAAATAGACGGGGAATTTCCCCGCATCGCCAAAATTTTCTTTTCTTTCGCCGCCACGGAACCAAATCAGGAACGGATCCCCTTCTCTTGTTCCCTGTCCTTTCAGCGTAGTACTTTCGCCTTCTATATTGCCATTCTTCTCACCCTCGCTATCCCTCCTGGCTCCCTCTCCTCGCATTACCGCGTACCTGCTGCGACGCGGCCGGATTCCTCCGCCCATCATGTCTCTCGTGCCCGTCGACACCACTCTGCAAGTCCCACCTCCTGACCCGGTTCAGGAGCCCCCTGAGGTGGCCATCACGCCCTGCGACCCATGGCCTGCACCATACTATCTTGAAGGCGGCCTGCGTCGGGTGAAGCCATACCACTACACCTACAACACTTTCTGCAAGGAGCGCTGGCGGGGTCGTGAATTGGTGGACATTTTCCTGTCGGAGTTTCGCGATCGTCCCGCAGAGTACTACGTACGCTCCCATCTCTTGGCTATTCTTTGAGGAACAATATACTGACCTGATTTTCTGGACTGCAGAGGAAAGCCCTACAAGATGGCCTTGTCGCCGTCAACGGCACGCCTGCTGGTCCCAACACCGTCGTCAAGAACGGCCAGATCATCTCGCATACCCTGCACCGTCACGAACCCCCAGTTACCGGGAAAGAGATTGGTATTATCCACGAGGATGACGATCTGATTGTCATTGATAAGCCTGCTGGTGTGCCCGTCCACTCCGCCGGTCGCTACCACTATAACTCTGTGCTCGAAATCATGCGCTCTCAACGCCATCCGGAATGGGTCCCACGACCCTGCAACCGTCTGGACCGACTCACCTCCGGAGTCATGTTCCTCGGAAAGACCCCGAAAGCTGCAGAAAACATGACTGGCAAGCTCAAGGCCCGCACCCTTCAGAAGGAATATGTGGCGCGCGTCAAGGGAAAGTTCCCCGACGGTGTCATTGTCTGCGACCAGCCCATCATGTCTGTGAGCCCGAAGGTAGGCTTGAACCGCGTTCGCGCCACTGGCAAGGAGGCAAAGACCAAGTTCCGTCGTTTGGCGTATGTCCCGCCTCAAGCCCCGGAGCCTCAGAGCGCCCCCGACGCAGAGGGACGTGTGGCGACTCCGCCTCCAGTCTACACAAACGAAGACGAAGGATACAGTATCGTCCACTGTTTGCCCTTGACCGGCCGCACGCATCAGATCCGCGTGCACCTTCAGTTCCTCGGACACCCGATCTCGAACGATCCCATCTACTCCAACCGCAAAGTCTTTGGACCGGATCTCGGCAAGAACGAAACCAGCGACGAGCGCGACAACGAGCTCATCGATAAGCTATGTAACATTGGCAAGACCGAAGTCCCCGACACCGTAAGCTACCGGACGCACCTTACCACTGTGCCTATGGTACCGCCAGGCACGGACAACTCCGTCGTGGAGGAGATCATGTCGCGCGAGCACGAAGCCGCCGTGGAGAGATACCACAAGCGCAAAGGCGAGATGTTGTCCGGCGAGAGGTGTAAGATCTGCGACACAGAGCTGTACTCGGACCCTAGACCCGAAGATCTAGGTATTTTCCTCCACGCCGCGGCATACTCTGACAAAGAGGAGGGCTGGAAATACACTAGCAAGATGCCTAGCTGGGCCCTGCCGCCGGACGGTGTGGAGGGGCCGCGCGAGATGCCCGACTGGGTGTTTGGTCCTGAGGAAGAGGAGATCGTTATCGGACATGCTGTTTTGCCTGGCGCGGAGGACGGCTCGGAGACGAATATCCCTGCTCTTGTGCAGGGTGTTGGCCTCGTCGATATTTCGTCTGGTAGGAAGGCAGATGCTGCTGCGCAGGCGGCTGCATGATAAACACGTTGGTTACATGGTGCATGATTTGGCGTTACTTGCGATTGCAATTAGAGAAATTAGACATGTTGAGATGATGAATGACGGACTACATTTTGTCACATAGTTGGATTCGTTTACTTGATACCACCATAGACAAAGTTTCATCTGCCATTCCAAATTGGACATATCATAGAACAAGCGTCATAGACAAACATAGTTCCATCTGCGGGGTAATACTACACATATATGAATACAGCTTGCTTGGCTTGTCAATTGAAAAGGCCATCTACGTAGTTGATATAATCTGTACGGTAGGTAGGATACAACACCAAATGGGACCAACTACAACGCTACAAGATACAACTACACCGCCAGACGCAACCCTCGGTCATCAAAAAGGTCTTCATAAGATTTGAATTTTTATTCCCAGACTGGCAGCACCAGCCACGACCACAAGCGCCCCCATGACAGATGGAAAACGCTTGCAATCCAGCACATACGTCGTCAACGTCAGACACACACAAAGCCAAAGCCCACATTAGAGAAGATGCGATGATTCAAGGCTCCGCAAGTCCCCAAAATCACAAACTAACAAAACAACCACGTAGTAGTAGTTGTCTGTTGTTTGCTTTTTTTAATTGTCCCCCGAAAGTGGTTGGTTTTCCCATTTTGGTTGGTATAAAGTGGAAAAAAGAGTTTTAATGAAAAATGAAAATGAAAATGATGAAATTTCTTGGGCTTTCTTTACATTCATTCCATATCCATTTAAGCCTCGGTGGTGACGCGGCCCTTGGGGTTGGTGACCTTGACGCCGAGAGCCTTGGCCTTGGCGATGATGTCGACGCGCTTGCGGGAGGAGACGGCGCTGGCGATCCTATTCAAATGATTAGAATTTGGGCTTGTGGTAGAAAGTGGGTTTATGCAGTGGGCGGACGTACTCAGCGGCGTAGGTGCGGTTGTGCATCAACAGGAGCTCAACGTCCTTGGGGTTGTGGACGAGGAAAGCCTTGTGGCCGGAGGGCATCATGTGCTTGGTCTTCTTGTTGGATCCGTAGCCGATGGAGGGCATGGGGATGTTGCCACGGAAGCGTCTACGGACGCGGTTGTCGATACCCTTGGGCTTGCGCCATGACTCCGGCACGCACTTGAAGCGGTCGGACTGGTGGCGCCAGAAACGCTTGGTGCCTGGAAGGAGTTTGATGTTAGTCGGATCGTTCGTCCTGACGACGTGTGTATGTATGTGTGATTTAGTTCAATCCGGCTGTATGTCCGTGGTCCAGCAAGCATTTGTCAATTCATGTTGTTGGTGTGTAAATATCTTCGTCCAGATCGAATCGAAATTTCGGTCGCTTGTGATAATTTCTTCGCCGATCATGTTCGTCGTTCGGCAACGTTCTTTCGCAATAAGAAATATAGAAAAATTGATTCGTTCGCTCCGATCGTCTGATTTCTCATTCCATCGCACCGTATATATTCCTCATGCTTGCTGGACGACTGACAACCGACGGATCGTACTCTGGCTGGGAACTGGACTGGGCTGGGACTAGCAGGGAGAAAAGAAAGGACATACGCTTCTTGACGATGGGGACGTGCTTCTTTGCGAGGACCATCTGTTCTCAATTAGCATGCAACAGGCAAGCAGCTGGCAACAATATCACATACCTTGTCGTCGTCTCGCGGGCTGGCGCTGGGAGTTGTCGTACGGGTCGAAATCGATCTCGAAAATTCGCGCTCAGGTTTGGCCGCCCGAGAGAGTCGAGCTAGTGGCTCGCTTAGCGAGTCTAACTGCTCTCGGTGCGTTAGGGCTCATTACGCTTGCCCTGCATTTTGCCGGTACTGCTGACTCAGCCAGCTTAGTGCGGTGGATAAGCTTGCCTTGTGCCATTCCTCATCAGGAATAGCGTATATATACTGTGATCTACTATGACTTCCGCCTCCGCAGCACAGCAGCAGCACCGCCCCGTCGTATTCGCGATGCTTGTGTTCCATCTGTGCAATTGAGCAAGTTAATTACAAGGTCAATGCCTACAATCATACATGGAACAGGTAGCTGACACTTGTAGTTTTGCCTTGTTCAACCATGATGGTTTTCGGGGGACTGTCCCCTCTTTCCGCGAGGCTGCAATCTGTAGTACACAATGCCGGCGCTTGCCATCGGGCAGCGTTATCCATATAAGGGATGACTCCTCTTCCATGATTTTGGTGAGCAACGCAAGGCGATTAATAAATAAATAACTGCATTGAAATTCTGTTATTCCTTCTTCTGTCAAAACAGCGGTTGCTCCCTTCAAACTGCACCATGAGCCTCGGATATGGTGTCGGGGACTTCCTCGCTGTAGTGAATCTCGCCAAGGCCATCAGGGTGCGCTTTGTTAGGGCACCAGACCAATTCAGACATATATCAGAAGCGTAGGTTTCAATACTATGCGCGTCTATTCCGATACTCACATGTCGCCAGTTCAAAGACCTTGTGCAATGTCCTCCGCGATATCAAAGACATCTACGAGCAAGCGGAGCTTGATACCCAGCAGGAGAAACACCTAGACGAAATCTCTCGCTCTTGCCGTAGTGGACTGAATGAACTACTCAGCAAATTAGACCAATACCAGGAGTTGGACCCTGGCACTAACAGCCTAGGGGGGACCTGTCGTCGTGTCTGGAAAAGACTCAAATGGGACCAAGCCGAGATGGCGGAGATTTGTCAGAGGATACAGTCCAATGTTCACATCTTTCATCTCTTCAGTACTAGTCTGACTAGGTATGGGTTCATAATAGCTCAGGAAGGCGAGTGCTCACAATTTCCGAAAATAGTCAAGTAGCCTTTGCTACAAACGAGCTCGTTCAGCGAGTTAACAATACCATGGAAGACAAAGCTCAGCATGAACTCCTTGAATGGCTCACGACCGTCAACTATGCAACTCAGCAATATGAATATTTCAAACGTCGGCAGGAGGGTACCGGTAAGTGGCTACTAGGCACAGACAAGTTTCAGCAGTGGATTAACAACGAAAATAAAAATATCCTTTGCACGGGCATCCCTGGAGCTGGAAAGACAATACTCACTGCTATTGTCATCAAGCATCTTGAAGAGAAGTGTGAGCACGACCAAAGTGTTGGTCTCGCCTACATATACTGCAACTTTCGGCGCCATCATGAGCAGAGCGTAGACGATATACTTGCGAGCCTGATAAAGCAATTGTGTCAAAGAATGTCGTCCCTTCCTGAGGATATAAAGACGCTATATGCGCAACACAAGAAACGTCAGACACGGCCGAAACTCGACGAACTTTCCGAGAGCCTATCCGTTCTGCTTGGTCACTTCTCGAGGATCTTCATAGTGGTGGACGCCCTTGATGAATATTCATCAAGGGATGAAGCGCTACGCAGGCTGTTATCCGAGTTACTTCGTCTGCAGAGCAACAGCACAGTTAGCATATTCGCTACGTCACGGCATAGCCCGTGGATCCAGTCGGCATTCGAGGGTTGTTTGCAGCAAGAAGTCTCTGCTGCCGCTGAAGATGTAGAGGCGTATCTGCGAGGTCACATGTCCGATCTGTCAAATGTCGTGCTACGCAACAATAAGCTACAGGAGGAAATAGTCAAAGCAATTACGAAAACAGTGGATGGAATGTATGTTCCACCATGTGTCTCATTAAGAAACTCCGCTCTTGCACTGACTTTTCATAGGTTTCTTCTTGCTCAACTCCACCTTGACTCATTGAGAGGAAAACTCTCGGTAGCGGCGGTTAAGAAAACACTAAAAAAGCTGCCAACTGGAACTGACGCCTATAATATTGCATATGAGGAAGCCATGGAACGAATAAATGGGAAGACGGCGGGAGAGAAGGAGTTGGCAATACGAATTATTGCATGGATCACCTGCGCTGGAAGACCCCTGACAATCACAGAGCTCCAATATGGCCTTGCTGTTGACATCAAAGAGAACGTATTCGATACAGAAAACCTTCCCGATGTGCAAGACATGGAAGCTGTCTGTGCTGGCTTGGTAACTGTGGACGAAAAGAGTCATATCATTCGCTTGGTCCATCATACCGCACAAGAGTATTTTGAGAGAACCCAGACCAAGTGGTTTCCCCGAGCGCACTATGACATGGCAAAAGTCTGCATAGCATACTTATTTTACTGCCTCCAGTCAGGAGCAGGCTTACGCACAGCCGATTATCCGTTTGCCTGCTACACTCGTCGCCATTTGGTGTATCATCTTGTGCGCGCTCTTGCACTACCAGGACTGGCACGCGGCGTTCTGCTGGACAAGAAGAAGGTCGTGCTTTGCCTTCAAAAGATCTTTGCTTATGACGGATGTCTGAAAACATTTCAACGGACTGCACAAGTGCCAGAATTAGTGACAGAAGCCCATCTGGCGGCATTCTTTGGATTGGAAGGTGCGTTGAGGGAGCTGCTAGAAGCCGGGTATGCCTTGAATGCCCTTGATTATATAAGAAGATCTCCATTATCGTGGGCGGCAGAAAATGGCCATGAGGAAGCCACCAGGTTTCTGATCGAACAAGGACTCGTTCTAGATCATAAAGACAAGTGGGGGCTTACTCCACTCGCGTTAGCAGTAATGAATGGCCAATTCAAGGTTGTGAGGTTACTCTTGGACAATGGAGCCAGTCCGGACTCGAAGAGCAACAATGGCCGAACCCCTTTGATGCTAGGTTGTGAAAACGGCCATAACTATGGCAGCGCTCGCGATTCATTACCATGGAACGTCATTGATTGTCAAAGAAGAATAGTCGAACTTTTGCTCAAGGCAGATTGTGACCCTAATATAAAAGATGAACGTGGCTGGACCGCGCTCCACTGCGCCGCTTTTAACAACCGCAGGCGAGTTATTCAACTATTACTCGCCAAGGGAGCTGATCCTCTAAGCAAGGATAATGCAGGTAAGATACCGCTCTTCAACGCAATCAGATGCGAGGATCGGATGGCTGTCTTCTCATTGCTCAAAGAAGCGTTTCGTCCAAGCCGCGTGTATGTATCAGTCTGGAGGGATGATTCTCTTATCAAGGATAACGCAGGTCAAACAGCGCTTTTCAACGCAGCCAAATATGGGGGTGCGGTTGTTGTCCTACCGTTGCTCGCCCATGGGTTCGATCCAAACCACATGGATGAATCCGGCGCGACTCCGTTGTTGTACGCTTCCTACCACAAGCTTTATGATGTTGTTAGGGTACTATTAGACAATGGGGTTTGTCCGAATGTGACGACTGAACATCCGGGCATGACACCATTGCTCTATGCAATTCAGGGAGAACATCACTCTATGTTCATGTTGCTGTTAGACCATGGCGCTAATCCTGACCTCGCTGATCAAAAACTCGGTCGACCTCCTTTGGTATGGGCAGCGCAGAGAGGTCTTGCTTCGATGGTGGAAGCATTGTTGAGCAGAGGGGTTGACGCAGACAGCCAGGACCGTAACGGTTGGACGGCTCTGTGGTTTGCGACTTCTGCACCGTTGTATCCCGGCATAAAAGCAGGAGACGAAGTCCTAGTTAAACAAATCCTTGAGTCTGGGAGTAATTCAAAGGCTCACAGCTCCCACAACAAGAGCTCCTTGGCGGCGACCACACGCCGTGATTACGAGGGCGTTGTGGAACTACTTTTGCAGTATAAGGCGAACCCAGACGCGGTTTACGTTAATTGGGGAGGATGGACACCATTGATGGTCGCAGCAGCAACAGGATGCCCGAATACAGTTCGATTACTGCTTGATACGGGAAATGTAAGCCCCAAGCGCCAGGATGAGTATGGCCACGATGCGGCCCACTACGCACGACTTCTCTTCGAGTACTATAATGGAGACCAACGTGACCATTAATGAAGCTGTCTGCACCGCAGACCAGCTGGAGAACGCTCCTCTCATTGCTTCTCTCGCAACAGAACCACAAGAATAGTGAGAGTCACCTGTCAAATTGAAGCATCATTTCACATATCTGTGAGGATGCCCTGTATCATCGGTGCCGTTAATTGGATAAGCCAATCAGTCAGGACATCAAATTGTAGATTTCTGAATTTATGTTTATTGGACAGTTAAATTGAATTTCTGAGTAAATCTAAGAATCCACTACCACCCTAAGCCATCACTGCAAATCCAACAGCACCTTCCCACCCTCACTCACAAACATCCCCTCCATAACCTCCAAATCAGCCAAAGCCTCCTCCGGCCGCAGCCTCTCCTCCAACTGTCCCTTCAATATCGACTCCCCAAACGCAGCCACCTCATAATTCACCCCCCGTCCCTCATACGGTACCTCAAACGACTCTCCACCACTAACCGTCACCGTATCCCGATCTAACTTAACCACACCGCGCTCACAACTAAACTCAAAGACCGTCTCATTGACAGCAGCCCCATACGACAAGGACACCACCCCATTTGCCCCAGACTTAGTCTTAACCACCGCATCGAGCGTATCCACCGGCGCCAGATGCTCCCTCTGCAACCCCATCATAGCCGATACAGCCGCCATAGCGTCCTCCTTACCAAGAATGAGTCTCAATCCAGCAATGGCATGGACTCCTCCATCGAGGACAAAGCCGCCCTTGTATGTGGGTTTGCGACGCCATTCGGTTTCTGTAACATTGTTAGCCAACCCACTCCATTTCCCATAACCAAGCCCAAACAAAACAGAGCAAGTAGAAGGAAGAAAGAATAGATAACGTACGATGATACTTCGACCCCTCCCCAATCAACGTCCTCACACCAACCCTAAAAGCCTTCACACTCCCCAACTTTCGAACCTCCTCAGCCACCCGCGTGAACTTCGCCAGGAAGCGCCAGTTCTCCGCTACGCCCCAGAGCGGCTTCGTCTCGAGAGCCTGGTACTCTGAGAGGAGAGCCCTAGCGGTGCTGAGATCACCCGCGATGGGCTTCTCGCTTAGGACGTGTTTGCCCGCTTGTAGAGCTGCGCGGATGTAGCTTGGTTGGGCGGGGATGGGAAGACTGTTTTTCATTTAGTATACGTTTGTCGCCATGGTAAATGCAATCTTATCTAGATGGAAGTGGGGGAGGGAAGCTCACGCAATAACAACAGCCCGCACATCCTCCCTGTCGAGGAGATCCTGAAACCGTCTACCAGCTTCGGAATCCTCGGAATATAATTCCACGTTCTTCATCACGGCGTCATCGTCTCCCTTGCTCCCCGAGATGAGAGACTCTGCGGATTTGAGGCTCCGGGAGTAGATGGCTTTGAGGGTGAAGAGGGGGGAGGTGGTTAGGATGGGCTGATTGTTCCCTATTAGTACTTGGTATATGGGGATAAAGGAGGAAGGGTGGATGGGTATTACCAGGTGTTCTTCTTTGGCGAAGATGCCTATTTTATTTAGTTTAGTACATTTGATTCATGTGAAATGGGGATTGATATTCGGGATTGGATAAGGGAGGGGGTGGATACCGCTGCCGATGATGGCTACGCCGATGGGGGAGGACATGTTGGTAATGTGTGTGACAAGATCAATGATCAATGATAATGATAATAAGAGTAGTAACGACAGGGAAGAAAGGAACTATATAGGAGTGATTGGAGAGAAGCTGGAGGTGAAAGGGTCTATCGATGCTATTAATATAATTTGCTATAGGAAATAAAATGTGGGGACGTGCGAGGCCCTCAGACTAATGGCGTTTAGTCCCGGAGTGTGGATGGCGGGGTTCGGTGGATATTCATTTTATTTCCTTCATCACTGTGTACTGTGTAGACGAATATTTCAACAATTATTATAGAAGAGGGAAATGTACCATGCTATATTTATATCCTCCATCAATGCAATAATTCAAACGCTGCGCCGTAAATGCTATCGTCACTCTCATAAGTACGCCTCATCCCGTCAGGTCATGCATCTCATGCCAACCATAACATGGCTTTCGCCAAACCAAAACACCGGGGTATATGATAAAAAGCAAGCGATAATGAAGAGCGAGGAAAAGCAACCGAAACTGATACCCCCCTGGCTATCCGACCATCGCTCGGATCCGCTCCACACGTGCCATCGCTTTCTCTAAGCGCTCCAGTCGAGCGCGCTTCTCGACATCTCGACGTTCCAGTACCGCGACACGCTCTTCGAGCCGAGCTCGTGCCTTGCGTTCCTGCGCGACCATCTCGTTTGCCTGGCTGAACAACTGCGCTGTCAATTCCTCCAGCTCCGTGCTCGCCTGCGATAGCTGGCTTTCTGCGGCTTTACGTAGACTCTGCTCCCGGGTCAACGCATTCTGTAGCTCCACTGTCTCCTCCTGGGTGGTTGTCGGCTGTACAGGCTCCGGTGGTGGAGGCGAAGCAACAGGCTGAGCCTGGGTGGTACTGGTAGCGCTCGGTCGACGGGAGGGGAGGAAAGAGGCAAGAGTAGAAAGTCGGCCCGGTTGCGATTTCGGAGATGTTTGTAGGTGAGTAGGTGATTGGGACCGGTCGATTTGCGTCGATGCGGTGGATGACACGGATGTGTTGTTTCGGGAGGACGGTTGCGCACGCAGTCGTCGGATCTCTTCTTCGTATGCGGCCAGTTTCTCGGCTGTTGGAGAATGGCTTCCATTAGTACACTATGAATGTATATTGTTGGGATTTGTTTATCTCACCCATTTGCATTGCTTGCAAGTTCAGAGCGTTGACTTGGCCTTCAAGGTCCTTCGCTCGACGTCGGGTATCATTTGTGGACTGTCCAGCCGCGAGAAATCCGTCCTGGCCGCAAGTTGGACAGGCCTTTCCGGAGACGAGAGCGGCAGCGCCCGCCATAGAGGGCAGCGTGCCGATGAGAGTGGTGGACGTTAGAGCGGTGGTAGTGGTGGTGGTCGACATTGTTTGTGCCACATGAGGTGAAAGTGAGGATCAAGTTCGATCGTGTATAATGCACAATCAATTGTAGGGAAGGCAACGTCAGCGGATCGGAGGTGAAACTGAGCGGCGGGAGGCTGAAATGAAAGGATGTCGGACCAGTGTCGCAAAAAGCGGCAGAGAGACAATAAATAGGAGGCCAAGCTGCTTAAGGGACGCTCATGCAGTGGTGTAGTGAGGCAAGGGAAGGTGGTTGGAAGAGAAGATGTCGGTAGCCAGCCTGCTCAAACAAGAAAGCGAGTGAAGAGCGTGCAGAGGCAGATGGGGATGAGGCCGGTGAGAGGAAAGAAGTCAGCACAGGCAGTGGACAGTAAGTAGTAAGACGGGGAAGATTAATTGATTAAACTGGGAATTGAATGCATTAATTGTCCCTGCGGCGGGAAGCGGTGGGGAGCCGCCGGTCTTCCCTCTCCAGAACAGCAGAAGGAATGCCATCTTCTCCTTCCTCTGCTGCGCTGGCAGTCCACCCAAGTACTACTTACTACTGCCAATGGATGTGATCATCATATCTCTGGCATTGGACTGCCTATCACCAACCAACAATGTTGCTCCTTCTGCGAACCCTTAGAGACGCCGTGGAATCTTGTTGGATCCGCGCGCGAGGCCACACGTGTGGACCGCGCCGTTGAGACCCGCTGGCTAGTGAGAAGCTGTTGGTGACTCGTCATTTGCCTGTCTGGTTGATCTGCCAGTTGCATCTCATGCCCGTGACAGTTCCTAAAGCTGACTTGCTTGGTCTGTCTCGTACGAAGGTCCTACAGACAGGCGCTTGATACACACCGACTGGGAGGCGTGCTGTGAAAAGGCGTCGACTCCATTCCAGCCTCCTGGCCAACCGCCCTGGATGCCATCGCGTTTCTTATCGCCAGGGTAACACCAGCCATGAGATAATTGATAAACCCTGCAGCCTTGATAAAGATCGGTCTCCCTTGCTGACCCGGGAGATCTTCAACCTTAACCTATCTAGAAAGGAGATGTGCGCTGAGGAATCACCGATCTTGTCTCCCTTGCAGACCTCTCGGCTTCACTATACCCTCCCGACCGAATGATCATACATCAACATTTTGATTTTGAATCCACATCTCATCTCCACCCCTTTCGACCCGTCAATCGTTACTTATCGTTATACTCATCATCACAGCCTTAGCATCGTAACTCATCAATCTACGTCCAACGTTACTCCTTCTCCCTCCCTGGCAGAACCCTTCGATCCGAGAGCGCGATAACCACGGAAATGCCTCCGCTTACTGCCCCCAGCACCGTCACCATTGTCGTCC